CTGCAGCGACCCGAGTTGCAGGCTGCGCTTGAAGCAGAAGTTGCGGGTTTACAAGAGGATTTTACAGAGAACGATCTTATGAATCTGCCGTTGCTTAATGCGGTGATTGAAGAGACGTTGAGGTTGTATGGTGCGGCGCCGAGTAGCCTTCCGAGAGTTGTTCCGCAGGGAGGGACGAAGTTTGCGGGCCATTTTATTCCACAGGGGGTGACGGTGGATACGCAGGCGTATACGTTTCATCGTCATCCGCAGATTTGGAGTCAGCCTTTGATGTAAGTTTGTTTAACGCGACTGACCCGTTATTTATTACAACTGTTTTATGGCGAGGGTTTATTAACGGTACATGCTAGATTCAACCCCTACCGCTGGATCCCCGATAAGGAAACTGGGGTGGCCGAAGCACTCTCTCCCGCTGCCAAACTGGCATTTCACCCGTTTGGAGCGGGCGCCCGGTCGTGCATTGGGATTCATCTGGCGCGCATGGAGTTGCGGTATGCGTGTGCGTTTTTCTTTCGCGAGTGTCAGGGGATAAAGTTGGGGAGGAGGACGACGCCTGAGAGTATGGAGTTTGAGGTATGTTTCTTCTTTTCCTTTTTTACATGATGTGTTTTTTTTTTGGTTTGAACGCGAATGAGAGATGTGGGCTAACGAAAGCGATTAATTTTAGAACTTCTTTCTCATTGCGCCAAAGGCGCATCGGTGTGAGATTACGTTTAGTGAAGCGCAGTAGGAGGTGTTCGCGGGGTTGAGTTGGTGGATAGAGGGAAGAGACTTTAGTTTGAGGTGTGGCTCATGGGTATGTTGATCGTGCTTGTGTGGCAGACGATACGATACGAATAAGATGAATTTTATGCAGGGAAATATCGGGTATAGCAATTGAAGAATCAAGTTTGAATATGTAATGACTTTTGAAGAAAACAGTTGAGGATTCCTTATAGCAACACGTCCGGATTACGAAAACGGCCTAAACGTCAACAGCATGTCCAGCCCTTATGTCAAACAAGTCAAGTTATAAAAATCTCATTCAATTAATTACTTTCATGGCTAAAGATGCGAAACCATTACCATAACATTCATATCCCATAACAACCCTCCACAAACAAAACATCTTCATGCTAACAAGCGCTTAAACCCTCTTGGTATCAATACACTCATTTCTCCTAAAGCACGCAACGAATTACATCCCACTCAGACTATTCCATCGCTTACAAGAAGAAAGCAGCAGCGGCAAAGAGGGCAGCAAATCCACCAGACACAGCAACCGCAGGCGCAGCATTAGCAGTAGCCTGAGGGAGCCCCGAGCCAGTAGGCGTGCCAGTACCGGTAGGACGAGTACCATTTCCAGCACCAGCACCACCGCCAATAGGCGCAGAGGGAGTAGGCTGGCCAGAAGTAAATGGAGCGTTGGAGACGGGGGTGGCACCCGAGTATGCGGGCACACCGTCCTCGCTGTCAGAAACAGTGGTGTTGTTGGGGTTCAGGACCTGGTCGATGACGTGGACGACACCGTTGGCAACGAGGACGTCGGCAATAACGACCTCGGCGTTGTTGACGTAAATGCCATCGTCGTTGACGGTGATGGTTACATTAGCGCCGTTGACGGTGGCGATGGAGGTGCCGTTTGCAAGGCGGGTTGAGTAGCCGACGGTGCCGGCAATCACGTGGTAAGTGAGGATCTTGGTGAGGTCGTCGGCGGAGAGGCCGGGAAGGGCAGAACCAATGTTCTGGAAGGCCTGGTTGGTGGGTGCGAAGATGGTTACGTCGGGAGTGGTGTCGACGGTTTGGACCAGGTTGGCGGAGACGAGGGCGCCGCGGACGGAGGTTAGGCCTGCAGCTGTGGCGATGTCGGAGACGGAGCCAGGAATGGTGAGGAGGGTGTCGATGATGTGGATTACACCGCCGGTGAAGTTAACATTCTGGGCTTGTTAGCAAGGGGAAGGATGGAGGTGGATTTGGGGACATACGGCTGTGGTGACGGTCGAGTTGCTTAGGCTTCCAGTGTAGAAGACAACCTTGTCGTCTTCAGTCGTAGCGTGGACGACCTGGCCGCCAGTGACGTTGGTGTACGAGCTGTTAGTCAGAAGCGTAGGAACGAAAGCGCCCTCGTCTGGGATAGCAGAAGATGGGTACGATCCATTGAGGACGTGGTACTGGAGGAGGGCAGTAATGGCGCCCTGGTTGGAAGTCAGAGAAGACAATAGCTGAGGGCTGACTTTCTCAAAAGCCGAGTTTCCGGGCGCGAGGATGGTGATGTTGCTGGCACTGCTGAGTGACTGAAGAACATCTTGAGGGACGAGACCCGCGAGAGTCGACAGTTCGGACGACGATTTCAAAGCGTCAGCGAGACTGGGAGTGTTCTGCGCGACGGCAGCAGCCGCGAGGGCGGCAGCAATAGAGAGCTGCTTGAGCATAGCTAATTGAATGCTGAGATGTAGTGAAGAAAGAAGGACAATAGTAAGAAGAGCAAAGACAGTGGTAGAACTGCTGTCAGGTTAACTTTTTTTGAGTGCCTTACAATTGAGAATCGGGGGGAAACAATGCAATAAGTACCATCACCGCCAGCGACATAGCCACAAGCAAGCCCATCCCGCCTCTTCTCTTGCTAGTCATGCCGTTACCTGTTCCAAGCCCATCAGGAACCGACGGTACCGGCGAGTTCTCTCCAAGACCCCTGCTCGAACCAATTAGGCCGAACAAATGCAGTACGGTGATGCTCGCTACAGGACGAGGCTTATGTCGTGCGGTATGGCCCGGTAAGCACCAGTGATATCATAGATCTGTTGGCCAAGTCACGACACACGCGAATTAATGACGCCTTGAAACTATAGGCCATTCATTTGTTGTAGATCCAAGCACTCTAGTCGTGTCCGCGTGTTGTCGCGAGTGGAAAACCTGAATAGTAGTCATTGAGGCTGTGAATACGACACCTCACGATCGGAGGCTTAGTCCCTCAACCGGCCATCTTCTTTTTTTTTCACTTCTCTTTCCCATCTGTCTGCTGCTTTGCACGTTTCACGGCCGTCAGCAATCGTCTCCCAACGAAAGGGCAAATGTCAAGTCCCCTTGCTGATGGAGTGGCTGGTCTGGTTTCACTCTAGCCCAACTTCAACCTTTTGTCCGGAGAAAAAAGCCCAGGGTCAAAGAGATAAAGATTCTGGAATGGTAGTACGTACTAGCCCCAACTGCAGGGGAGGGGTAAGAAACGTGTTGTCAGTTCTCGATCGGCAATGTGTGGGGTAGACAAGGGCTAACTAGCTTGGCCGACGACACCATCACCTAATCAAGTGTGCAGGGGGAGAAACCAACCGTATTTTATGATCAACCTCGACTCTTGACCATACGATGCGTGCATCGAACATGCCAGCAGTAGATCGAAGAATACCTTGGGGAGAAGACGAAGGATTGCGCGTCCCCGTAGCGCTGGCCTTGCATACTTTCCAAACCACACCACTTTTTGTCTTGTATTCTAAAGGCTGAAAGGCTTAACCTGATGGCTGGGTTTAACCCCAAGCTACATGGAGTGTATGAGTGTAACTTATTCATCTACCCCAATCACACAGAGTTTGAAAGCGCACACTCTCCCGTCCCGCTGCCAGCCGACGGCCGTTGTTGCCAGGACACTGTGCTGACTGTTGCTCTTTCTCCCATGTTCCATCCAAACTAAGTAGTATATCCAGATCGCCATGCACAAGCACAATTGCACATCTCTCCATCTCTCCACCCATTCAATCCGACATAAATCCCAAGCAATCCTTAGCCATCCTCACTGCCTCACCCAAGCCATTTACCCCACCGGCGACTTTTCGCCGCGATCCTCTTCGGACGCCTTACTATCTCCACACCTACATTGGCACCGCATGTAGCTGTATGTACAACCAACACATCCTACACGCGCACCCTCTCCACCCCCAGGAAAATCCGCCAAAAAATCCCCTGCTGGGAAAAGTATTACACAGAAAAGCACAGCCCCTTGAGTCCCCCGCGCTATCCTAGTAGGTAGTAAGTCATTTGTAAGCGGGCGGCAAACAAACCCAACACCCTGGTGTCAACCACCTCGCCTAACCGCGCCACCCTTGTTGCATTTGTCCCGAGCATCGAGCAACTTTCTTTCATTTCCACACTTTGAACTTGAGATCCTTGCCCTTTCCTTTGATGCGCGTGTTTTGCCGCTGGGTACCTGATCTTTCCCGTTTCTCTCTTTCTTTTAATAATCCTAGATCTAGAACTCGGGAGGAGGGTGTGCGGCTGGTTTTGCAAGCGACATTTAATTGCGTTGTGTTAGTAATGGGTTTCTGGGTACCGTTGGCGGCGGGGAAAATGTAAGCTGACAACACGATTGAAAAAGCTTGTTATGCGATGAAACTTGTTACTTCTTGCATCATTCGGGCTAGGCATCGTGGACTGTGCTGTGTTGTATATACCCTGCGGACTTGGGGATAGCGGTGGATAGTGGATGGACAGCTAGGGTGCGTTGTTTTGTGCAAGGTAAGGTAAGGGCATGGTGAAGTCTGTACTATATTCACGCAATGGAACGCCATGGAAAGGAGAAATATTGTGATCTGTACTTCTTACTGAAGGCGTGTGAATTGTATCCCGCCGTTCGGAGTATCTTCGCCCGCTTCAACATCGCTAACTCGAGATGAATATGCCGCTCGACACTCGCCGTGTCTCGCCTCGGCGGACAAATACCCTAATTGATGTGGTGTGCTGCTGACATCCATAGCTTTCCACGATGCTTCAAGCGAGACGGATAGTCATATCACGTCCCGTGTGCGCTGAAACCCAAGGCAGCAGGTACTTGTCGCGTCCGGATATCGCCGGTAGGCAAAAGTTCATACTTTTCCCCAACAAGGTTGTCGTGATATTCCGCCATCCGTCCCTTGTCTTTCTTCTTCTCCAAAACAATCACAGTTGCTCTGCGCAACCGTAACAATACTTCCAGTCATAATCATAACTCGTCATCGTCGCTGCAATTTCTCTAGGATCAACCATGTGGACATTCACACCTTGCCCCTCAACATCTTCCCCAACGACGCTCCTAGGATCCTGCTTTCCTTGCTTCTACTCTTGGGCGTCGGACTCGCATGTCTAGACGAGGTCTTGGACTCGGCAGGCGAGGCCTCGCGGCGCTTTCTCCTCACAGCAGCGTCTTTGGACTCAGCGCTGCTGGACGAGTTGAGAGTGTCGCTGCGTTTCCTGAGACGACGGGTTGGGCTTGATGTTTGCGCTTGAGGATGTGATTGCGAGGTAGACCTTGACGCTGATGATGTCTTTGGCGGGGCGGCTGTGGAGGATGCTCGTCTCCGTCTTCTCTCTTCGTCGATCTGCACAAGCTCGGGTTCTGGTTTGCGAGTGACAGCAGGACTCGGTGTTCGTGCTCGCCTTTCCTTTTCTGCAATCATGCTTTGCCGTTCCATTTCTTCGAGTGCGTCAAGAGACACCTTTTTCATCTCAGGAGCTGGGCGCGGCCGCCGGGGTTCACTTTCTGATCGCGATGCCGCATAGGAGTCGAGCACCTTCTCGACTTGCTTCCTGTGTGCATCGGTGCTTGCCAGGCGTGTGACCTCGAGCACCAACAGGAAAGTGAAGATGTACCCGACGAAGAATCCGAGCCGGCTCCAGAACTCGTAAGTGACGAGAAAAGAAAACAGTTTGACTGTGGAGATGACTCCGCTGATCATGTTTGCTAGAATGATTTGGAGTTTGGTAAGAAAGAAAGAGCTGTGGATTTGCGAAGCGGAGCGTAGTACTGCGGAGAGGAGTGTGGTATCGTAAAGAGCAGCGTGATACCCCAAATCCGTCGTGTGATCTTTAGCAAACCCAGTATCGATACATGCGACCAGCGCTCAGAAACATATACAATCCTATTCCGATACGTTATCGCTGGACGTCAGTCAAACACCAAGAAAGTAAGAAAGTAATAGAAAGAAGGCGCGCAACCCCCCTCTTCAACAATTACGACCACCCCTCAGCGCAGCTCATCACCTTCCAATCCCACCGTTTCACCTCCGTGTCGCCAAGGGGGCCTCCTTACACAGGGGTCCTCCTGGAATGTTTGAGCATGAAACGGCTGACAGGAAACCGAGGAAGCGGGGTGGAGGGTACGTAAGGCAAAAGCGCGCGCTGATACGGTAAGAGGCTAGGTTCCAGATACCAATTTACATATTGTGGCGCTTGGAGGGTTATCTTTCGTTGTTGCAGGCGCCTTGTCGTGTGATGGGGGGAAGGTGAGAGCGGGTGGGGCAAGGGAGGGGCAAGGGGGATTGTAGCGAATAGATTTGCGAGGATACGATGGACGCCAGAGATAGTACTAGGAAGAGCAAGGGAGTAGTTCGCCAGTAAGCGCTGGTGTTTGGAAGTACGAGGGCATTGTTCGCATAGATTTTAGCTGGAGGGCAATATATTTTGCAGCATAGAAGAAGAAGAAGAAGAAGAGGAGGAGGAGGAGGAGGAGGAGGTGTAGGGATTGGTGCGTCATTTCTTGCTTTTTTTCACCATCTCATCACGGGTGGGTGTAAGACGGTAATCTGTCTCTTGGAGCTAGCAGCGCCTCTTCATTTCCGCGTATCTTTTGGTGGTTCCGAAGGTGCCGGCGCATGTGAAAGAGAGAAGGGAGGAACTTCCCTGCAAGAAGATGAAGATGGCTACCAGTAGCGGAAGTGGTGAGGGGGGTGTTCAATCCGTGAAGTTGTCATCTACCAACCTTCACTGTACATTATCACCATATCCTTGCTCGTGGGCTCAAAAGAAGAGTGAGTGTGCCATGGTTGCATTTATGTATTGGTAGATAGCCAAAAAGGGCAACGGGGAAAGGTTTCAACATGTCCCATCTACATGCGCGGGCTTTATCTCGCTCTTGCTATTCAAAATGCCACAACACGCCAAAAGCGTAGTAATACAGCATATAGTCGTAGTGTATGCATGCAACTCCGCACCGAACTCCAGATCCGAACTCGCTAAATGAGGAGAGAAAAAACAAGAGAGAGAAAAACAAGGAAACGCCGCGCTCAACAAATGCAGCAACATGCAACAGGGAAAAAGTCAAAAGAAGCACCACTTTTGCTTGTCCAGCGTCTTTCCAAAAAAAGAGAGAAGAGGGCTCTACCGCCCACCAGGCAAAATCTCATCGTTAAATATGCTAGCATCCCAGCCCCTCTCTTCCATAAGTGTAGCGGCATCTTCACTCATCCAATGTGTTTCTACCGCACCCGAACTTCGCATGCTTTGACTTTTCATGTAGTTGCCAATGCGCGTCGTTTGCTCAAAGCCGACCAGGCACTCCCAAATAGTTGCAGCGAGCCATGAGAAGAATGAAGATACAGGGACCCACCAGTCCTTGATGAGATTGCGGTAGATGAGGGTAGGAATGACATAGGGATATTTTGGAGCATTGGGGTTCACACTGAATGGGTAGGGATACGATTGGGCGTACACGGGTCGACAGTATAACTCACTGGAGGAGCAAAGTCAGTTAGATAATTCACAGCAACAAATGGCGTTATAAGTGGATAAACATACCAAGCAACCTCTTCGCTTATCCACCAGACCAAGAGGGTGATGAGAAAAATGCTCAGACCCGTTAGTCCGCCCCAGAACCTCAGCCGACTGTTGGATATCTGGCGCAAGGACTTGAGTCGTTGCTCCCAGAATAAGCTCTTCCACCACTTCCACATTGAAAAGTACTGCGCGTGGTCTTCACTCGTACACAGACATGTCCGCTTGACCACCTTGATTTTCTCGCCATTCTCTCCCTCTTCGACATGCTCGACTCGGTCCTCGACGCGCTTCATGCCTCGACTTACGTCACGGATGCTAGTACGCGCTGCACGGAGGCGATCGCTCATGCGATGCAAATGGACGAGCTCTTGCTGTCTTTGGCGTTCCGCATCGTTACGGGGTGCATCAGTTGGAATCTGAAGACCCTGAAGAGTATCTTCGTCTACTGCGATTTCAGTCAATGGAGTGATGAGCTCCTCAAGTGAGTTGATTGTAGAGTCACCAAAATCCGCTGTTGATTGTTTGTCGTGAGCTTTCGCTTCTTCGACGAGTGCTTGCAGTGCAGATCTGGGTAACTGGGGACGGATCACTTCCATAGCTACATTTGCAGACCCTTCAGTGCCAGGCCTGAGTCTCTCAAGCGATTTGGTCTTGCGTGGATCGACTTTCTTGGGTGAGCGTGAACGCGAACGAGATCTACTTGTAGAGACAGATCTTTGAGTAGTACGTGGACCTGGTGTGTCGACCCAGGCACCAGTCACTACTGGAGTCTTGGGGTTCAATATCGGTCTCTTTGCGGGCATTGGTGTCGCATGTACTCCATTGGTTTTTGCTCCCTTCTCCGTTGAAGATTCCGGCAATTGTCCGGCTTCTTGGGGCGTCTCTCGTGACCCCTCTCGCTCTGTGTCCCCTTGTGACGCAGGTGCCACAGGTTCGGAAACGGCTTTGGGCACGGATGCGTTCACTTCCACGTTTTGCATCCTCTCTTTGCCCGAAGATTGGGTACGCGTGGTTCCCATCTCTGATGAGCCGTCCAGCGGCTCTGAAGGTGTCGCTTGTGGCCGCGCCGGGCTTGGGGTGTTCGAGGCTCTCGCCAGCCGACGCAGCAGGTCCTGTGAGTCATGCCGCCGATGGGGAACGCGCTTTGGTGGGATTCTTTCAACAGTGGCAACCACTTCGCGATCTACCTCAGCTATGCTCTCCGTGCTCTTATACATTGCAGAGGGCATGTCTTCCTTGCCCACACCCATTACCGGCTGTGACTTGCCAATTGACTGCCATGACTGTGTGCGCATACGCAGCTTTTTCTGGGGCGGCGGAGACTCTTGCACGACTGGTTCGGGGTTCGATGCGCCATGGCTTGCACTCTCCGCTTTCCGCCCAGACGAAGACCGTCGGCGCGCTGGCTCGGGCGAGCCCGACCGTTCCTTTGAGCTTTCAATCTCGCGCCGCCGTATGTCGTCTAGCACGGTACTTCTGGGGATGTAGGGCGTAGATGCAATCATGGAAGCTTCGTTGAGCTCAAAGGTGAGGTCCCACTCCTCGGAATCGGCGCGTGGAGTGCCGACCATGGACGTCTTGTGCGAGAGCGGGCTGTCTTCGACTGAGCGGTGTGGCAGGTTCGCGTTGTTGCCGTAGTATTGATCGTTTGTCCCATCTTCTTCTGGGGCCGTGGGTGTCTGTTGCTGCTGATCCTCGTCGTAGGCGATGGCCCGCATCCAGTGTCTGTTGCTCCTGCTCTTCCTACCCCATGCTGCCGGCACATGTATTGCTGGATTGCTGCTTGTGCTCCCGTTACTGCTGGGCGGGCGGTCCAGGCTGACATTTGCACTCGCCGCCGCTGTTGCTGCTGCATTGTTCCTTTCGAGGTTCTCCAGGGTCAAGCCTACGCGCGGATGTGCGCGCGCCTTTGTAAAGGGCTGGGGCCGGTTACTGGCGGCCTGGCTCAGTCGTCGTCTGTCGCGCTCGTTGCGTATCATGAGCTTATCAAAATCGTCTTCGGCGTCATTTTCGAGCTCGCTCAGTCCAGACACGACGGAGTCTGCATCGTGCAAGTCATGTCGGTCGTGGTTTCCGGTGTCCATGGTGCCGAGTCCATTGGTCCTGGTGGTGGTTGTGGTGGTGGTAGCTAATGTGGGTCTCTGGAGATGTGCGTAGCGTGACTTGACAGCGGTGGCCGACGGCGGGGAAATGGGGTGGAGGGGCTGGCGCGTAGTCATTGCCGGGCGGTGGGCTGATTGCGATATCTGCGCATAATACTGAGGGCTGTGCGAGAACCCGGGGGTTGGTCTGCGTGGCTACAAGATATATTTCGAGTAATGAGGGCGGTAAGCGGACTAGCTTTGTGCATGTGTTGTCGCATCGCGCACGCGTCGTGGCTCGCTACGTAGGAACGTGCGCCACAGATTGCCGCAGGGATCAGGTCACCAGGTATACTACACACGCACGTATAGGTGTACGTTTATACTATCCGTCTATCTATATCATGGTTCAACGTCTCAATTCGCCTCATAACCAGAACCCATCATGGCTCTTGCTTATCAATGGCCTCCATCCTCCTCTTTACCATGTCGGCGTCACTGTTGCCTTGCTCGTCCCTCCATGCACGAAACGCCTCCTCTCGCATCACCTTCCGCGGTGCTCGCTTGCCAGTGAACAACTCAAACTGAGCAAAAGCTTGCTCGGGTATGAAATCTAGCCCATCCATGTACGTCCAAAGCTTGTTTGTTGCATCTCGCACCTGTTGCTTCAGCGGAGTGTTGAGCGACTTATACGCCGTCTCCATGACAATCCCACCCGTAGGGCTCTCCATCCACTGCCTGGGAAGGGTGAACTGTGCTGCTGGCCCGCCATCTATCGGGTCGGTGGGTATGCAGGAAACGATGATGGTTGGCTGGCGAAGTGCCTCTGGCCATGCGTCGTCACGTGACTCTAGGATCTTGAAGTTTGGCAGGTTCTGAGGTGTGATCGACGACACACTCGCTGTTTCTGTTGAGCTTGAAACAAGACGCAAAAAGTGCGCAACAAGGCTCTTAGCTTTCTCAAGTGTCCGATTGAAGATGACAATGTTTCTCACCCCCATCTGCAACAGCGCGTAGACGGCCGCCCTAGCCATGCCACCAGCCCCGATGATGAGGCCACAAGACAGCGGCCGTACTGCGTTCGCAGGAGACAGCCCCCTACGCACGCAAGACCGAATCCCAATCCACTCGGAATTATCTCCATACAGAGCCTGAATAGGCCCAGACTGATTGCGTTCCTGGAAGATTTCCAATTCGCTTGGGAGACTGCCATCCTGGTTACGCCGACGCACGGGTATTACTGTATTCACAGCACCAATCGCGCGGGCATGCTGGCTCATCGAATCCACTAGTGCAATCACCTCCATCTTGAATGGCTGGATCACAATGGAACCACCAAAGTTTGGCTGACGTACCAGTTCCTTGAGACTGTTGAGCGAGGGGCTCTGAATGCGAATGAATTCATGGGGCATTCCGCATGCCCGGTACGCAAGATTATGCATTGCCGGTGACACACTGTATCCCAATCGCTTACCAATAATGTAAATCTGCATTGGGTCAAGCGTAAACGAGCTATACAAAGCCTGGGTAACTTCTCGCGCTGTCACCCGAGAGTCGTCAGTGTGATGTGCCATTGGCCCTATCGTGTCCGTTTTCTCCGTTGCTGAAGGTGGCACAACGGGTGTCAAGTACTTGTTAAAACAGACGGAGCGCCGACCTGCTCTTCCTGTATTGTAGCAGATCAGAGGCACTTGGGCATCATGCTTTGCCATTCTTGAGCTGAAACTGCGAACTGAAATGTCGTCATCAATGGAATAGGCTGGCCGAGTGAATCGAACAGCAGAGCAACCAATACGCACAGCCATTTCGTATTGCACAACCCAGAAATGATCCTCCCATAGCGTGTCAGCATGGAGGTGGCCAATGATCTTGGTCGTACCTCGAGAGGCAATCAAACCTGTAAGCGTCGCTGCATCTAGCGACAAATCGACTGTCGCATACTCGGGTGCCATTCTCAATCCATGGCGTACATGTTCCAGATAAAGTGTCCGATGGCCGTCTGTGGGGAATGTCGGAAGTATGTGATAAATAATGGGCACTACTGTACTTCTCCGTACCTTGGATATGCAAGCACTAACCTCATCCAGGGCATCGGCCATGATGCGTGGTTGGCTAAGATCAAATATGACTTCAAAGGCATCCGATCCAACTTCCAGACGTTGTACATCTGCATCTTCGGCTAGGATGTCTTCTAGCGGTACCTGGACGGCACAAGTGTAGTTGCGGAGCTCCGTCGCCACATCGGATAGCGGATATCCAGGTTCCAACGGTGGAATTGATAGCCCGACTGAGCCACCCGAGTTTTCGGGATTTGTGACTATCGACAGGAATTTAAGAAATGTTCGTTGGGCTCTTTTCAGCGTGAGAAATGCGGGGGCCACTGGCTGATCAGCAGTATCAGCGCTGGTGGGTTTGACCTCGGAAATGTTATAGAACTCATAGTTAGAGCACCGCCGAAGGATGGGCGCAGTTAACGCCAGCATGTCTTTCAGTCTCTTCAGATCGGGCCCTCCCAGATGGTTGTGCAGACTGGAAAGGTCACGCTGTACGTGTACTACGGGGTGCGTGCGAGCAAAGTCCTGCATCAACAACTGTCCGTTTCTCTCCAACGAGAGTCCATTGCAGACAATAATTGCACCTTGATCGTATTCATCAAGAATGCTACGCAGAAGCTCTTCTTGCCGTAAATTAAAGTTGGCAGCCCCAAACTGCTTGCGGTACTTGGCAGTAGAGAAGCCCGTCGTCTCTTGAAACATGTCTTCTACGTCGAGCACCCGCCTCCGGCATGCTATCGAGGCAATGACGGCCAAGGTGGACTTTCCAGTCCCAGGCATACCAAGTAGTACTATTGAAGCATCTGCTCTAAACATGCGACGATGAGGACTCGCTGGGGGCAAGGGAGCGGGGGTGATGCGAGGGGTGGATCGCGCACTTGAAATGGTCGAGGCTGTTTGTTGGTCAGCACGCAAGCAACCAGACAGGTACATCCTTACGTACTTGCGCCATCTGGGCTGACCTTGCGCCTTTGGGGAAGTACTGTAGAGTCTGATGTTGCTGTCTCGCGCGTCACCAAATTGCCATAGGAGCGGTAGCTCTCAGCAGCTCCGCCGTTCTCTTCCTCCAAAGAAGCAAAGGCGCGTTTGGTCCCTATCGCTGCGGAGGCCATGATGGCGGCGCCGGTCTGGCTGAGAGTACAGAGGCGTCAAGGGTTCAGGTCTCGGACGCTTTATTTCTCCGGTGGTTCTTCAAGTAGCCGTGCGGCGGAATACAACAGGTGATATGGGTAGACTGTGGAGCCGAAAGTGGTTGGGACGACTCGAGGTATGCATGGTATGATGTATCATGGGAGGGATGGGCAGGGCAGCTGTTAATCGTCCGCCGTCAACCTGGTAAGCGATTGAGGACGGCAGAGCGCGGGAAAATGGACGGCAGCTGGTTTTACACAAAGGCATGTCACAATGGTGGTGGTGGTGGGCCCATGGATACGGGGTAGTCGCAGAGAGGGCAATGGCCGGCTGAATGCGCCACCGGATAAGCCTTTTTCCCCTCACTTGCGTGTCGTGCCGAACTCGCGTAGACACTCGACGTCTTGCGCTCCTGTTATGCGCGAGGCATACACATACACTGTCTAACAGCCCCGGCCCACCCTCAGCAATCCATGACACACCCCGGATCATCTGGCCGCTGAGCTCCGTAGCGTTCCTGGACCAACCAGACTGCTCCGTCTCCCTTTCTCGCTGCAGAGCCTTCTTACGTCGACTCTTTGGGTTACTACATGACCCCCTACGTCCAGCTATGCACATGCACCACTGAGTATCCCGTTTTGTGATCATAATATATTGCGAATCCGTTCGCATCGGGCTCATGCCTGCACAAAGTCAGGCAAAGCGCCAATCCGCATCCCTATCCGAAGAGAAGCCTGCCAAACGCACTCGTGTATCACGAGCATGCGACCAATGTCGCGTTGCACGTGAGAAGTGTGATGGCCTCCAACCAACTTGCTCTACCTGCTCAGGAACCACCAGAAAATGCTCCTACACGGCAAACCCCAAGAAGAGAGGCATCCAACCAGGCTACATTCGCACACTCGAGTTGGCACTTGCATGGCTTTTCCAGCACAATCTAGACAACGAATCTGCCCTCAAAGAGAAGCTAGCACAAGAGGGCGCTTCGTCATTACTCCTCAGCCGTGACTCAAAGGAGTCGAATAAGCTCCACAGACGATGGCGCAAATCAAAGTTCTACATCGACGTTGACAAGCAGCTGTCTGGAGGAGAGCCTTCAAGGCATGAACAAGCTACCTCACCCGGTTCTTTTAGCAGCGACGAGGATTCGGATACCGAGGAGCCTTTGAACAAAAAGCTCAGCCGTAGCCAAGCAAGTAATATTGAATTCCAGCGCAGTGTTGAGCCTTCAGGTGTTGCACAAATCGCAGCAACATCACATAAACAGCCGGTCAACATCGGTGCTCCAGAAACAATCCCACAGGATAGCTGGCAACTGTTCGAAGTATACTTTACCAATATACACTCTTGGCTTCCCATATGCGAGAAGCACGATACCCTAAAATCCGCCTATTCTTACCCTCTGCATAGCCATTCCAGCAATCCCGAGCAATCCGTTTCTGGGGCACATGCTGAAATGTGGAGTATCCTGGCAGTGGCATCACTATACGACGCAAACCTGAACGACCCCCTTGATCCATCATCCACAAGGCCTATGAAGCTGTACGAGACTGCCAGATCCATGATACCAAGCGAATCTGGACGTTTCGATGTCGGACATATCAGAGCTCTTCTGAATTTGGTCGTGTTCAACATCTCCCGAATGTTGACGGGTTCAGCCTGGCTACTCGTTGGTTACGCATCGAGAGCCCTGGAGAATGTAGACCAATCAACACTGATGGCAAACTCTAGACACAAACATGTCTACTACGGGTGTTTACTCCTCGACGGCATGCTAGCATTTCAGCTCAACCGCCGTCCTCACTTTAGGCAGACCGATCTAGGGCACCTCGGGCCTATTGACGAAGACGGTTTGGAAGAGTGGCAGCCTTGGTCTGGTTTCAATGATCCTATGCATGCTGGTAGGATGACCCCACTGCTTTCTTTAAGTACGTTCAACAATGTCATTGAGTTGGTTGACATACTTGTAAGCACTGGGCGGCAGTCAGCACAAGATACTTACCAAGAAGAGGCTGCTCAGCGTCTCGAGAGGTGGAAAACGTGTCTGCCCCCCAAAGTGGATGCTTTATTTTCTAATGGCTCCTTTTCGTTGCTCGCCCCGCCGACTGCCCTGCTACAAGCGACATATGACTGCGCTCTTTTTGTCTCCCATCCTTCGGATATAAGTTTACAACTGTTCCTCAAGGGACTTGATAAGTGTCAATTGGACATTGGTGTCCAACGACTACCCGTACCGATCAAATGTCTCGTTGTCACTATCAGCAGACTTGCTAGTCAACTCAATCTGCGTGAAACGACCCGCACCCAACTACAAAGGTTGCGAGCGGCCATGTTACCAACATCGCCTCAGTTGCATCATGATGATTCACAGACTCTTGAGAGCTCCATGATGCCGGCCAGACGATCTTCAACAGCCATAAATCTGTCAACACCAGAATCACTCCAAACCGCAACTCCCGATGGCCGCAACATGGCCCAGCCAACAATAGATCCCCTCAATGACTTCTTCTCTGGGCCGTATTCAACGAATCCATCGCATGTAGCAGTGCCTAGTCCATCACAAACCGACCCACGGTACCCCGAGCTCACCAGCGATCTCGAGACCTTTTTTGACGAATTGGCATCACTTGATAGCGCAACTCGGCCAGATAACCAGCCGCAATTCATGCAAAACCTTGGTTTCGGGCCTGGAGCAAGCATGGCTGATCTGTTCAGCGAATACATACCTATGCAGTCGTCGAATTTTCTGGTCCGTGACGACGTGGCGCCGACAAATCTTGATCAGTATGCCTTTTACGATGGGGGCTGAGTGGACAGATATTCGAATGTCTCAACACAATTCACGTTACGCATTCAGCATGTTGCATTTGCCTGAAGATCATCAGCTTTTGGTCGTTGGAATTTATTGTTAAATTTGGCCAACATGATAGTTCGCAAAGCTACACAATTTCACAAAGATACTATGAGTCGCATTATGCATGGCTGCATTTGGCACATCATCCGAGCAGGTCTTGTGATTCATTGCTATCCTTTTCTAGGATTGCAAGACTTTTCACCTCGCCGCACATGGCGTTCAGGATAAACCGCCGGCCGGATCAGATAATCTGTTTAGCCCTTGTCGAGCCGATTAAAGACACATATTCGCGTACTGCTTCCAGGCAAGAATGAAGAGCTACTTCAATACGGCGAGCAAAAGTCATGCTCCATTTCCAATCACGCATATGAAACCATCTCGTACACCCAGAAGAGCAAATCTCACCAATCAGTCAAAATATTCACTCAATGAAGAATATTCAAATCAAACGCCACTTAGCCCGTCCATGATCCTCGGACATGTTCCCGAAGAAAACTTTGAAAAAGGAAAACCATCAAGAAAACGAAAAAGGGTTTCCCTCATCAGACGAACATGTACGCCACGTTTCGAGAGCGCTGTTTCACAATCTCTCGCATAGCCACAATTGTCAAGTCGATCTGGCGGATAAGGGGGATAAACCTTTTTTTATAAATAGTCTCAAAAAAATTGATGAATACTACTTGGATGTCTGTTGTTTTCCTAGGACCGCGGCATAAACCTATGAGACTCAACGCAAATCGATATTTGAATTCTCGTCATTTATGCCTCCTTTGTTCAAGCAAGAGAGGGATGGTTATAGTCCATGAAGACTAATGATTAGTATCGCATTATGCGAAGAAGAAATCTAGCAGGAGCGAAAAGAAAAACGAGTGTCGAGAATGGACGGATGGACGGGATGTATAATTCTATTATTTTTTCAGACACGAAAGCAGGGTATCATCGCAATCTAGACCAATGGAGACCATAACCATCCATTCATGCTTCCCTCCACCCCTTCCCTCAAAATTCCCTAGCACTAGAACGAAAAAAGAAGAATAGAAGGCATGCAATCAAATATCTGTCATGCCATCCATGCCCCCTATCTCCCTACTAAACTGTTCAAAATCAACCCCTTGATCCTCAAACATCTGCTTTACTTTTTCGGCCGCAGCAGCTTGTCGTTCGGGGGTAAAGCCACCAGGGGCACTACTTTCGTACTGGATGAGCTCGACCCACCTGAAGAACAAACTCTCCTTGCCCATGGCCGTCAGCTTGTCCTTGAAGGCAACGACTTTTTCCCTAGCTTCCGTTTCCGACCCTTCATCGAGCTTGGCGCAGTCCCATACAGCCCACTGTCCATTATCGCGCTCCGCGTCGCCAACATACACGAAGACGCTTTTGCGGACATGATCAAGGGTGATGTCTTTGCGATCGAGGAGCTGCGTCGCGGCGACCATGCCGAAGAAGTCAAGGTCGAAATCCGCGTCCATGAGCATATACCCTGTTTTCTCGCGGAGCCGCTGCTTGTCCACCGCGGGCAAGATGCGCGTCTTGAAAAAAGGGCTCTCGCCTCCTCTGCGTCCGCTGCTTCCCTCCGCCTCACCCAGCAGATCCTTCGCACCCCACCCCCTACTAACCCTTACATAAATCTCTTGCTCTCTAAACCCAACGTTCCAGCGCCAACTAACAGGGTTGCCGGGCTGCTCGACGAAGAAACTCCAGGGCCAGGGTCCGACGATGCGGAAGAGGAAAAAGTCGAAGAGAAATAGGAGCATGCGTCTTCCGACTTTCCAGAGCAGCGAGCCCCATGTGTTGGCGGCCCAGTATATGGTTGTGTGGTTGGCTTGTCCGAGGACGGACTTGGCGATGTTGAGGTAGTGGGGACCGATGGTGTATAGGCGCCATAGCAGGAGCAGCACGAAGCTAGCGTTGAGCAGGAGGGGCACGATGAAGATGCGACGTTTGAACCATGCGGGATGGGGGTCCACGTGTGTTACGTAGACGAGCGAGCGGTCGAAGGTGTAGAGGAGGTTTTCGAGCTCCGGGGGTGCTGGTGTAAAGGGCGGTGGGATGGCCTTTTTGGTGACGTTGTTGGCTTGCTTCCCCGCGCGCGGCTTCGCTTTGGGCGGCATTGCGAGTGTGCGGTGGGTGATTCGAGGGCTAGCTGTGTGGAGCAGATGGCATTGGTGATGGCAGAGGAGATTGTTGGTGTTGTCATTGTTGTCAGGTCTAACGGACGAAGTTGTAGGTTTCAAGCGTCATTCCGATGGGTTTCACCGTGCCGAAAATCTGGGGTAGAAAGGACATGCATGCTGCATCCTTTGGCAAGGCGGTGGGTGGACAGCGGCGTGTTTGACATGATACCTTGGGTTGGTCCTTCTTGCAAGGTGTGTGGCCTTGGAGAGATGAGTTTTTTACTTGTTGATTCCGGTCATGCTTTGCAGGCACAGACACAATGGCATATATCAAGCATTCCGCATCTACACCATGATGCTCCGTGACGCCGAACAAGCAAAGTCGGCGCCGGCCATGCGAGGGCCGATACAAGCGTCATTGGTCGGCAATCATATACCGTTTCCACCGATCTCTCACCACTTCCCCCCACTCAACGTCTAGTAAGCGACAGAAGCAGATCTCCGGCTTCACTGAGGAGACCCGGGCACCACCGTCGTCAGGCCGTCGATAACGTCAAGAGAAACAAGCGCCGTGTTGGCGCAGCTGCTAGACGCTGTAACACAACCGCAAGTGTGCTTGTAACGTCCAAGACCCAGGGCCTTCGCCGAGAGCGAATTTCCCGTATAGGAGAGCAAAATGAACGGCAATGTTATTCATCAAAGAAAAGCATGTTGCCCTAAGAAACGGTCCTCGGAAGGGCAACCAGTCTTGGCCCTCTAGATCGACGCGTCTATCTCTGTCTTTGCACACCACGAGCGCGGAACGCATATACCATTGAGCAGCCAATGCCACTGCGGCTTTGAGCTGTGCTACCATGGCCCAGCTGAGCTAACAATGGGGCCGCATATACGTGCATGGAACCACTGCCCCCTCTAATTCAGACTAATTACAGAGTCGTCACGATTGTACACGCTGGTCATACGTTTTGCTTATGTATGACCGTCGGGCCCCTTGGTCTGAGCCATTGCCAACTATGATTTGAGCCCCAGCAGTCGCGCGGCCATCCCAGTGTGTGCACCTGATATCCACCATCTAGTCCCGTTCCCGTTGTCGAGAGAGAGCCGTGTTGGCTTTCCCTTGATCTTGTACATCCTTGATCTTGTACATCCTTGACTTGGACATTTTGCGCGCTCTCCCAACTAACAAACAGTGAAGTATGTCTTCGCAACAAGGAGCACAAGGTCCTCCGGTATGTATAGTAGAATGTAACAAGACGAAACGCGTAACTAAAATTCAAACAGGATGCCGTAGCAGCTGGCAAAGGTCCCCCATATGCTCCTCGCGATGCCGGTCTAGGTGGATCGCCTGACATCCTGCCTGATGTCCCCGTCGCAGTCATTTTCCTCGTTTTCTATCTAGTGTTCGGTGTTATTCACATTAAGATCTTCAAAAGTAATAAGCATCGTGGCCATAAGTTCATCTTCAATGGCGCCATCTTAGGTAGGCTATCTTGACCATCACCCCGATACACTGTCGACTTACGCGCTATAGGTCTTTGCAAAATTCGAATCATCACCATGATCTTACGTATCGCGTGGGCCAACTATCCTAGAGATGTCGGCCTTGCTATTGCAGCAAACATCTTTACTTATGTCGGCACCATCATCTTATACATGGTCAACTGGTTCTTCGCTCAACGTATCATCCGCGCCCAACACCCCAGCCTAGGATGGTCGACACAGTACCGCCTCTTCCATAGAGGTGGACTTGTTCTTTTGGTCTTCACCTTGCTCGGTCTCATCGTAAGCCAAATCTGGAAATTCTTCACCCTTACACACATGAAGCAAGATGCCTTCCGAGTCCTCTTCCTGATCGCCCAGACATATGCCACAGCCTTTTGTTTCGCACCCGCCATTCTGGTTGCTCTTTCGCTTCTTATTCCGCGTACCGAGGTTGAGAAATTTGGTGCCGGACGACTACGGTACAACATTACGATTCTTGTCATCTCGGTATGCATTCTGTCGGTCGGACAAGTGTTCCGTTGCGTTTTGGCCTGGATCCCGCCAACCTTGATGATCGATGTTCAACGCGGAAACGTGGCGATACCCTGGTATCTTTCCAAGGCTAGCTTCTACTGCTTCAACTTCCTCACTGAAATTCTGGTCGTCATGCTGTTTGCCGTCGTCCGCGTTGATCTACGCTTCTACGTACCAAACGGCGCCAACAAGGAAGGAGACTATTCCAAGAGTCGCCTTGATTTCCATAACGATGATGAGAAGACCCCGGTTGAAGAGAATTGCACAAAAGAGCCCATGATCCACCAAAATGACTCGAACCAGACGCTGCACCGGTACCAGTCTTCTGTATTTGAGGATACCCAGACACTTGCCGACTCGTTAAGATATCCGCACTCGACTCTAGAGGTTGACGAAAAGACTGGTAGCTGGAAGGTGAAACGTCTTTCGACGGATTCAGGAAGAGGTCCACACGGTGCAATGCTAGCGTCTAGATCAGCTCTACATTCAGGTCCCTCAAAGTCAACGCTGAACACGACTGCATCCGGGAGCACATCAAATGACAGAAACTTCCGCTCAAATAACAGTACACCTCCAGTTCCAGAACTACCGGCCGAATGGCCATTGCCTGATGCCGCGCCGCCACAGGGCACAAGTCCAGTTTTAGAGCACCCAAATATGCTATCTCACAAGGTTGTAACTCGCAAACAGACTTTTGAGCTGGAGAACCACGAGCTGAACAACGTCGACGTGGGCGATGCAGTTACGGATGCACTGGCGAGGCTAGAAATGAACAGTGACAGGAAAAAGGCCAAAGCACCCATGAAACCACCACTCGCTCACTACCGGACCAAGACGCCCATACCAGCATACAAATCCACATCTGCTATAAAATCCGTAGCAGAAAGTCACTCGAATCTCCCGAAATCCGCAAAATACACCTTCTACCAACCACCTAAAGAGCCCGTCCGCCACCGAGCCAGCAGTACACCCCTCTCCTCTCCCCGTTATTCCGAGGATGACTGCCTCCCGGACCTTCCAAAAACGCACCGAGCCGGCCGCTCAGTTTCCATCTCGCACCAACCAGCTAACCTCTCCACAAGCCCCAGCCTGGAAATCATTTCCCTCCTCAACACAATGAGCGGCCCCCAATCCCGTATAATCGACGCCTCGCTCCTCCGCGAACCCCTCACAGCAAACCCGACACACCTCGAACGCAGTCCCATATTAGTATCTCAAACACCACCTCGACCCCAGCACCACAACAACCACTCCTCTAGTTCGAATCCCAAACCCAACCCTTACACCCCTCCCAACCGCACAATCCCAAATACTACCAATAACAATAACAACTCGCATTTCCTGCGCCCAGACCGCGACGACGCCTCTTCCACCTCATCCTCAACCCACGACAGACCGTACACCCAAACAAGTTCAAATTACAGTCACGAGTACAGTCCATCAAGTATAGATACCGCCGAGAAAGCCTGGGCCCAGGAGGAATTTCGAAGATTTAGTTCCGAACCCCTTGCTGTGTCTTCGACGGCGGGCATGGCGCGCGCGGCCAGTCAGTTGCGACGCGTTTAGTCGATATGCTGAGTGGAGGGGGTGGGACGTCTAATTAAAACCACCCACTCCCCCGTTTTTTTTTTCATTTAGTAGTGGTTATCCCCCGTGGTTTGGGGGTGGTTGGATATATGCCCTGACTACTTTACGTACAATCCTTTTTTTTGACGGACTGACTCACTGCCTTTCCCATATTTTGGCTGGTGGAAAAGGTACTTTACATTCTCTCTCTTGGAGGTGGCTTTCTTTTTCGTTCTTTCTTTCTTGAATTTTCCCTTATCATGATTCTGGGGAGGGCGGTGTTGGATTATGTTTGGTTTCTTGGAGATGTACACATGACTCTTTTGGTCGACGTCTCTCTTTCTCTCTCACACATGTTTCCTTACTTTTTCTTTATCGAGGTTTTGCTTTGGGGAGGATGGGATTTAGGTTGGGAAAAAAGGGGAAAAGGCAAATATTCCCCGTCATGCACTCATTCGATCTTTTTTCTTTTTTTTTCTTTGTGTATATCATGGTTGGGATGGGATGAGATAGGATGGATAGGGATGATACAAAAGGGCTGATTACTGTACAGTTTTCCTTTACTTGATTTTTTTGGGGGGGTATATGAGGTTTTACATACCCGTAGTTTGGACATCACAAGAGACTTTTTTTTTCTTTGTAAGGCTTACGTACATGGCGTATGAATGGAAATGCGATCTTACCCATCATAAGAATTTACAAATGCCAAAAAAACATCACACACACTACATTTTCATCATGATTCGAACGACATGTCATGATGATAATCTCGTATCGTATTCGGTGTACACTCATGCCCATGCATGCCAACATTTCTTATCTCTGCGTTTCACTTACTCAACCACCACCACCACGACAACGTTCATCTCCCCACTATGCAAATTACCTATTACAGCTACTTGGGCGTCGTTACCACACCTTCATACTCGCGACTTGCTATGTAATCCAGAGTGCGCTGGAAATGTTTACGGGGGTTCTCGAGGGAAGAAGCGTTTTCGTTTGATTGCAGATTTGAGTGGATGAGTTCGATGAGGCCGTTGAGGTATTTGGTTGTAACCTAGTCTTCGTGTTAGAAAATAGTGGTTTGAATTGGATCGGAAGAGAAAAATTACGGCTTCGTTTTCTTGGTCAAAGTAGTAGACGTATCTGTTTAGGATCTCGACGAAGAGCTCAACGGATACGGCGGCGTCCATGCAGGCGTCGGCGACACGGAGCGCTCGTTGTAAGCATTCGAGGACGCGCTTGCCGTCGCGGTAGAGCTGGGTTTGTTAGTACCAGTGTCATACATGAACCTGATTACAAGCCACTTACGTCCTTGGGGTCCTCCTCACCCAGCGCCCGAATCTCGGTCGCCCACCATAGGTGGCTTGCAAGGTACACAGCGCGGCATTGATCCGGCTTCTTTAGCAGCTTGCTGCCGTGTAGCGCGCACTTGGTAATCAGGGTATCGTAATTCTCCTTTCCAAAATTCCTTGTGGTGTGCAAGCCGCTTGCAATGACACATACAGCCTGGAACTGTGCTCTTGAATCACTAATAGCCTCCTCGTAGATTGTAAATGCTTGTGCAAAAAATTCGTACGCGACCTCTTCGAAGCCGCTCTGGTCTGCGACCTGACCACAAGCAACAAAGAGGCGAAGGGAAAGGTCTGCGGAGCCTGTGACCCGAGTGTACAGCGTCGAGAGGGTGTTGTGCATAAACTTGTAAAGAGCCGATGACTGCGACTGCCAGTTGTCTTCAAAGTGTTCGCGCTTCTTGTACTGGCGAGCAAGCTTGAGTGACGCTGTAATGATAGCAGGAGATGTGTACTTGACGCGCTCGTTGCCGTCGGCAAAGGCCTTTCGCGCGGTCTGCAGGAGCTGAGTAGTGTTAGTCTTTCTGAACCAGAGGAAACCCTAGTCGAACATACCTTGAATTGGGTATCGTTGTCTTTGCCATGGATCAGATGTACTATCCGCGCGAGCCAACCCTGTTCTTCTATTGTCTCCTCCGTCTCCTGTGCCCTTCTCTGGATTGGCCCACCTGGGTATCCTTGCGCTTGTTGTATGCCTTCTCTAATTAAGACTTTCAAAATCTCCAACACGCTTTCGAGATTCTCTGCTGTTGCAATGGAAGTTTGGTTTCGCATGAGACTTCTTGCTACCTCGCCTGCTACAGCTCTTCGAGTCGGGTATGGTTGTGAGTGTAGGAGCGGGATGAAGTTTGGTAACGCTAGAGCGGTGAAGAGCGAGATGTAGGTCTTGATGGGTGAAAGAAGGAGACTGAGGATTTGGCTCTGGGTAGCCTGCGAGTGTAGGTCTGCGCTGTTCTGGTATTCGGCAACTTTTTGGTTTGCAAATGTCAAAACTTGGTCAATGTAATCGAGCCGTTCAGGATAGATGTTCCTGTTGGAGTTAGTACGTAATGAGTAGAATGAATCACTGAGACCTACAGCGCAAGATTTGCCAGTGACACCAGCAGTCCAATGGTGTCTTGTATTGGCAGTCGCTGCATCTTCACCAATGTCTGCACCTGCTCGTTGAATATCTCAAAAAGCTTGACATTGTTCGGTATTCCCCGTTTCTTCTCAATCTCCCCGTCTGCCTCTGTCGCTGGAGTCTCTTCAGCAGGTGCCTTGGCAGGGGTTGATGAGTCTTCTGTGGTTTCTTCTGTGGTCTCTTCCGTGGATGGTTGCGTTTCTGATGTTTCTGAAGAGTTGCCATTTTGCTGTGTCGGCGCAGGTTCCGGTTCAGCTGCCTTGTTTTCCTTTGCTGTCCGCATCTGCTCCAAAAGGTGTGCTATCGATTCCTCTTCTGTTTTCTTGCGCTGTTCTGGACTTTCCGACTCGGCTTCTCTTTGCGCATACGACGACAATCGGTCCATAAGGCCAACGACAATGGCCTTGACGTTGACTTGCGGGTTTAAGCGTGCGACGGCAGAAAGGAACTGATCGAGGGTGTGAAGGTGGAACTCATCTGGAAAGACCTGGGTGACAACTGGAGTCTGTTAGCTTTCGGCTCACATATCCTAGGGTCCAAGACATACCTTCGAGGAGATATTCTTGCGCAAGCACGTCCCGGCACTGGACAATCTGCTCAAGCAGCGGGTTGAGAATCTTCTTATAGTTGTCTAGATCGACCAGCTGGCTCAAACGGACCAAGTTGCTGCCGACCAAAAGTTGCAGTTCTTGTCGCTCCTTGGTCCGCTGCTCCCGCTCCCTCGAGTGTCCCTGGTGCTGCAGGCGGACCCACAGCTTGTTCATCTCGACGAAGTTTGTGAGAATGAAGCTGATGGAATCCTGCAGGTTGCCCTCCGGCCCATCACCATCACCCGAGGGAAGGTGGTCGCGGGCCTGGCCGGCAAGGTAGTAGCGCAGGAAGAGGCCACGGACGGGGTGCTGAACCCCGCGACTCATCTCCATCATGTCCTTCATGATCTCCTTGACGGGCGCATCTTCAATGGCCATGTAGACGGTACCGACGGTGACCATGAGATAGAGGCGGGGGATGATGTTGCCGGCATACTGGACCAGCTCATAGAGGTCGGCAAGGTGGTTGACTGGGTGGTTCTCGCGCAAGTAGACGGCCAGGTGGCGCAGGGCATCGAAGACGGCCATGTATAGCTCATAGTACTGTTTGGGGCCGAGGCTGCTGGTGCGCAGTTCTGAGACGAGGGTCGAGCTGCGCAAGAGGATCGTCAGCATTGCTTGGGGACATAGCAGGGCAGTTGTAGCAGTTGCTACATGCAAGCCATAGTCTATATGTTCATGTATTGCTTCACTCATGAGCCATGCGCGTACCTGCACTTGAGCGCATCCATCAACTTGCCCGGCGTCTCGAGACAGCGCCGCATGAGCATCGTCTGCTGGCGCACCACGGCGAGGGCATCTTCAAGCAGCCTGGCCTGGTCTTCTACGGGGGGCGGCGACGCCATTGTGTGTATCCAGGCGAGCGGGTAGTCCGGGGTTGTGGAGTGGAGAGCTCGTCGTGGCTATACCAACCGCCGCCTTGGGCGCACCCGTTTGCCAAGCAATCATGACAGGGATGCCATCTTCTCCTTGGACCTGCGTCATCATCATCATCCCTCGGTCCTCGCTGTTCCGTACCAGTCCATCAGCACATTGCTCTTCAACACACACATGCAGCCGTGGAATCATTGTCATTCATCTCAGCTATCCGTCTAGTCAAACTACATAATACATGCGGCCCAAAGGACCTATCCGTCGCTACAATTATTCCCAGAACGCCTAACCCATGTGTCTCCATACATACTTGTCTGCTGCACTAGCGTATCGACATGCCACCATTACTCCTTCGTCGTTAAACCACTGCCAAAGAACAGAAACAGACAGTTGAGCCAGCCTACCGCCTAACTTGGGAGTAAGAAGAAAAGGAACCATCCAGAATCTAGCTTAAGCCGCAGGCGGCGCTGTTGGAGCAGCCACGACATCACCCTCGAATGTCTTTATCCTGTAGTTGGTGTGCCACATGCCGTTGTCATAGTACTCTATAGGGCCGTCGTCCTCGGAGACAGTGACGGTAATGAAGATTGGCTTTGGCGTCTCGATTGGCATCGATGTGCTGTTTGATGACACGCTCGTGGGCGTGGTCGGTATGGAAATTGGAGGTGTCGAAGAAATAGGAGTTGATGTCGAAGAGGCCGACAAGGAACTCGACGATGACACTGCCACGCTGCTTGAGCTTGGGCAGGGGGTAGGTGCAGGCGCTGGGTTTGGTTTGACGACTGTCGCCGTCACCTCTCTAGTGACAGTCTCTCCTGGGACAACAACCTCAACGGTCGTTGTCGTCTTGATGGTTGAAGTTGGCGTCGCAGATGTCTCGGTCGAATCTCCACCAACATTGACAACCGCATAACTCTTGCTCCTCGCGTCGAGCTTTCCTGCTCCTGCCGAGTCAAAGGGTCGTCCACTGGCGAGTGTCGAGAAAAGAGCGGCCAGTGCCAGAGTCCGCTTGTTGAAAAGCATGGTGTTGGTAAACAAAGGAAGGTGTATGAACAAGTCCGAAGGCTGGCTGTCGTGAAGAAGTGTCGATCACGGCTTGAATCTCGGCTGGTACTGAAAGAGATCGTTGTGAAAACTACCAGGTCGGTATTCGTATTTGAGATCCATATTCGCCTAGCCGTTGGGTTGCGTAATTTCTAGCAGGTTGTAAATGTGGAGGTTGGTGATGGCTGGGATGGTCCGTGCATTCTAGTAGGACCAGCCTAGAACCACCATCACCCAAACCGCCAACACTGCCATCCTGGAATTTCTTGCGAAGCCCGTTTTACCCGGGAGGAATGACCTGATCATTCGTCACCGCGCGTTGATTGGCGTGCAAAAAGAATCAGATTACGTTGCGCGCGGCTCAGCACTACGATGTAGTCATCACGCGCCATCAGTCGCCCTTCCACCCTCTGCATCCCTGTCTTTATTATATGTATGCTTAGGTCGCAGCACATTACTAAGTTACGCCTAAAGTCTGTCAGCTTTCTCCTTGACACATACTCTAGCCGGGAATGAACTTCCGGCATACTTGACAATTACAGTTTGCGCTTCAAATACGCTCTCTCAACTTGCCGGAACAGTCCAAAGCATCCAACGCCTAGTCTTAAGAATCTTTGGTAATCCTGCCACATGACTTTATAGATATCTCGTGTCGTACGGCTAATCCAGCTTCGCTGAAGTCTCCAGTTGATTCTGGAGCTACTGGATTCAAGTGTGCTGATACAACAGCATGCTTGATCGTTGAGGAACACCGCGAAGAATAGTTGGTGCAGAAGAGGGCATTTCCCTTTTTTTTTCGTTCGGCTCTGCTGACTGAGGGCCCTTGCCCATCATTACCCATGTTGGTACAAAACTCTTGCTTTAGCGCTGTACATCTGGTTGACCTCATGGCATGACCAGCGCGTGCGAGCTACATGTGTGCATCCCCCTTTGAGTGTTAGATTTATTCTCAGACCAGAGAAGTTGAGTTCGGGCTGATATATATACATCTGAAGAATGTAGGCAGAGACTGTGCGAGAACTCGATCGTTATAAACTGTTTACTATAGATCGTATATCAAGGCTTTTGGGACATTTATAGCTCCTAGTATCTCTTTACTTTCGCTCAGAACTTTCTTGATCAACTTCTCGCCACGCTCTGAATACATGACAACCGAAAATCTAACACACTGTCAGCAAATGATGAAATGGCTAGACTTTATCTTCGTGTGTACTTACGGGCGCACTCCCCAGTCACTCAAGAAGCCTCCATGGCTTTCTCGATCTGCAATCACCACTGCATGAACATACGTACTAGCACCCTCTTGCAGACTTCTACTAAAGAGAGTAAAGTACGCTGGGAGAATAAGATTGAATGAAGAGCTTGTATACAAGGTCCGCCATATTTCCGTACTTCTAACTAGCCCCGGACAGGCCGTGTTAATGATAACCTTATCAGAGTCAACTAGCGCCGCGAGTCGTCTCACGAGAATCATTTGGAGCAACTTTTCACGCGCATACCACTTGGTCACATCGTACTTTTCGTTAAACTGCGGTAAAATTGCTTCTTCGTGGTCGAAATCCGCGAAATATGCAGTTGTAGATGTCACTACTGTGAGCCTAGCCGGCTTGCCAGCCAGTCCCCCTTTGGCTTTCAGTATCGGCAGAAGAAGTACAGCCAGCATGATTGTTGAGAGGTAGTTTACTTGGAAAGTCTGCTCTTTTCCTGTCTTGGGAGAAATGACACGGTCCTTGTTCTGCACCCCGACGTTGAGAATAGCGATATCAAGCCTACACAGCGCCTGGCATCTTGTAGCAAAGGCGGAGATGGACTCGGAATCCTCCATATCTAGGATCCAAACCTCGACTCGGGCGTATGGAAACTCATTACGAAGAGCCTCTGCTGCGAGGTTACCTTTGGCTTCTGACCGGATGGCTAAGATGAGCCGAGTGAGGTCCAGCTGGAGGAGCTGGCGTGCCGCCTCAAGTCCTAGACCGGTGTTTAAGCCGGTGATAATGGCTGCCTGGCCGTCGAGTTTGACTCCTGCTGCAATCGGAGGCGGGTGCATGAATAGTTGGCGGTATACAAAACCTACGCCACTTTGAAAAATGAGGCGGCTGTAGACTTGCTCCCAAAAGGACATCTTAATGGATTGAACTGAACCTCCGGGATGCGTTGTACGATCCATCGGTGGAGTATCTTACGATTTTACTAACTTTGTTAGCAGCTGTGAGTCCTAGGAAGTCCCACACCCGAATTTGCTAGGTTGGAACGCCTGAATCGTTTTCGTAAGCACCCTGATCAATTTCTCCGACTTATAGCCTAATGATATATACTGATCTCCGGTCCATTACGATCAGTAGATCCTTGAAGCCGCTATGTTCATATAGTAGTTAGGTACATATATAGCAGGGCCCCACTAAGAAATCCCCGGCTCATACGTACTAGTAAATCTAAAGCCCCCAATTCACGACCCAATCGGGGATTACCTTAAAGCATTTTCGGATCTTTCCAAGATCACATGACAGATACAGTCTAGTGGTTCAAGCAGGGTGCCATTTACATCGGAATACCTCACCTCGTAACACTCGCGCTTCAAGTTTTGACGCATTCAATGCCTCGGTGATCATTTGTCTCGTGTAGGTAGACTACCAACAAACATATGACTGCAACTTTAGGACCTCCTTTCAGAGGGCCGGCCCTTATCATCAAACATGTGTTTGAACCAATAGCCACCGGTCCAATTCTCGGCTTGCTGTTATACACACCGGAATGTATGCGGAGAAGCGCCCTGGAATCAACATTTTTCTCACATATCAACAAACCTACACACTCCCATACGCATATTGGGTTTTCTAGCTACAGCTGGTGTCATCAGGAAGATCAATCTTACTCTAAACTCATGAGCTACAAACAACTAGCAGATATGTGCAGGTCATGGCTGGAGCTGGAACTCTGAAATTGCAGTCGTTATCGGAGGATGCAGTGGAATCGGAAAGGCTGTAGCAGTGCTCGACACACAAGACGCACTTCAACACGAAAATCCTCTCGCATTGGCGACTAGTTCAGCAGTTCATGCCAGACATGGTGGCGAAGAACAAAGGCCACATCGCGACGGTGGCGAGCGTCGACTCGTTCCTAACGAACTCGGCCAATGCAGACTAAGTAGCGACTAAGACTGCAGCACTTTCATTCCACGAGGGCCTTACGAGCGAGTTGAAGATCTAGTATCACGCGTCTGGTGTCAAGACTTTGATTGTGCATCCTAGTTGAGTGCGCACGCCGTTGATCAAGGAGCCAATATTGAAGAGTGTCCAAGACCCAAAGCTTCTTGAGAGCATATTGGGGCTGGAGGAGGTAGCAGAGGTTATTGTGAAGCAGATTCTTAGCAGACATGGTACTCAGCTCTTTATTCCAAGTCCTGCGGCACCCATCTCATGGCTGAAGGGGTTCCCGAATTGGGTTCAGGAGCTTGTTAGGGATGGGTTTGGAAGGACAAGTGCTATTACTGGTGGCTCAGTGGTCGCGTACTAGACATGAAGCGTTGATATGAACGTGTACTACGGTATAAATACCGAATCAGCTACCCCACTCTTTTGAAAATCACCACTAGGTATTTTACTTAGTGGCATTTAATATCCGAGACTAGTGGTGGATAGTCCTAGGGATCTTACATGTGCTAGAATTGTGGGTCCCCTCCCAGCATCGGACACCGACTCGCATTCCGTTATGTGTTTAACAATGCAAGGGAACCCAGTGAATCCCCTATAATGATGGGTGCGCTCACCTGCAGACGTGTAGTCACTCGTCAGATTCTAGTAGTAAGCTCAGCAAAACTGACCTGTACTCCTGTATTAGAGCACCATTATAGCTTGTTGTATATAGATCCTTGGCTTTGTAGACTTATTTAAAATCATCGCTCAGTTGTGAATTATTGAAACTGTTCATTACTTTTCATTTCAGTTTCATATATTCAGTAATTCAATATGGTTGCCCAATTCTCCCTAGCGGAGACCCCAACCGGCAAGTATTTTGCCTCCATGGTCGAGCTGGGTATAATGCGTGTCTTTGTCGAGCATAGTATCTTCGACGCAATCCCAGAGGAAGGAATATCGCTTGAGGACCTTGCGGAACAGCTGGGTATTGAGTATAACCTCATTGAGCGTTTCACGGCTTTCCTCATCTCAATCGACGTGCTAAGATCACCAGCACCCGGCCATGTGGCTCATACACCAACATCAAAGGCCTTCCCAGACGCCCGTATTGGGCAATTCTACACGTACCTCTTCGACTTCTTCATGGGACCAACAACACAGTGGCCGGGCTACTTCGCAGCGAATGGGCTCGCTGAACCGCCTAGGTCAAATCGCTCGCCGGGTGGGTTTGAGATGGGCATGCCTGATAAGACGGCGTACGAGATCATGATGGCGATCCCGGGGTTAGAGACCAAGATGAATGGCGCCATGGCTATTGATAGCGGTATCTCTATCACAGGAGTATATGATTTTAGCTGAGTGAGCGCTTATGCAGCGGGAAATGCTGATAGGGAGCTCATCGTTGATATCGCTGGAGGCAAGGGCCAAGCATTGAAGGTGATTTTGGAGGAGTCGCCAGCGATTCCTGCAGCTAGATGTGTTTTGCAGGATCAGCCGCATGTTATTGCTGAGGCTGTAGAAGAGCATAAAGATTCTACCGTTTTGGGCCCAGTAAAAAAGATCGGACACAGCATCTTTGAAGAACAACCGGTTAAAGGTATGAAACCGAGGTCTTCCCTCTTCTCGAGATGTAACCTCCGTGTTGGGAATCAAAACAACTGACGCTTCTAGGCGCACTTGTGTACTACATACGGCGGGATTTGAACGACTGGTCCGAATTCGAAGTTCTTCAGATCTTGAAGAACATACGCACAGCCTGTGCGAACGACTCGCGCGTACTCATTGCAGAGTACTTAGGTCTCGAAGATCCAAGTGTCTACACTAGCACTGTCGACATGTTCAGTTTGAATATTGACGGCAAGGTGCGTAGCGAGAAAGCGTTTTATGAGCTTGCTGCGCAGGCTGGGCTGAAGATTGTGTCAGTGACGAAGCACGAAAAGACGGAGTCAGCCGTAGTTGAGATGATTCCAATTTAGTTTGCAAGTTGTAATGAAAGCATCCATAAATTGACAGCTATGAAGGAAAAGTTTTGGTACATAAGATCGCCTCGATTGATCCTTAGGTTCATTTTGGCAGCGCATTGAGTAAACAGGATCGCCGCGGTGGATCCTTAGATATGTTTTGACAGGTGCATCGTGACATGCAAACGTGGAATTACGGCCGAAGTAGGAGCGAGATTTCGGTCCTTAGTAATCTAACAACGACAGTTCGTAAGTATCCATGCCTAGTATATCGCTTAGTTACATATAATACTAATTCGTACAGGATAAAGAGATAGTTGCTCCAGAGGTACTGCATGTACATAGCTACAATAGGTATTCGAGATGAAGTTCAGAATTATGGTGCACCAGCACAATGTTGCATCGTCTTTCGCATACAGCTTCAAAGTGGAAAATACATTATGTCTATAATCATCTCTAAACTCTATGAAGGAAAGACCGTAGCAGCCAGCATCTAATGTCCATTCGCTCCGTTCTCCCCATTCTCACCGGCCTTCTTGCTTGTTCCATTTGAAAAACCCGGCCTGGGGTTTCCCTCAAACTCCTTTGCAGCCTTCCATCCTTGCTCCAACGAATTCGCCATCAGCCTCGTCGTGCCCCAAACGTCGAACTGGACAGCGATAGCGCGCATGCCGGTTTGAATAGCCATAGGTAGTTGCTCTAGGCTCATGACACCACTGTAAAGACACGGAATGTTAGCCAAACATAGTACACTTAAGAAGAAATGAAGCAGGGAAAGGAAGATTTCGTACCCAAAGATCGGCAAATCATTCTTCGCAGCAACAGCATTGAACTTGGCCATGGCCTCAAGAAATTTGGGTTCAGGTTGGCCAGCCAATACAGTGTTGATATCCATTCCAGCATCGATCATAAAATCGCCCGGACCAAACATGAGTCCGGAAATGCCTGGTACGGCAGCAATCTCCTCAGCATTCTCAAGGCCCTTGAGCGATTCGATTTGTGGGATGAGACAAACGTGGTTGTTTGCAGTTTGGACGTTGTAAGGGTCATTTGGGTACAGGGATTTGGTCAGGCCAGGGGTGAAGGTCCATGGGGAGAATGAGCGGTGGCCTTTTCCGTCTGTTTGAGAATCGTGTTATCATGGCTACTCTTGAGAAAAAGAAATGGTGGGGGTTAGGGCGATAAGGCAAGGGATGAAGAAAGTGTTGAGAGAGGAGAAACTAACCACCAAAGTACATCTCCTTGATGAACTGCCGGACTTCATCTGCAGACTCGACGTGGGGAATCACGATACCAGCGCAGCCAGCATCGAGTGCAGTAGTGAGACTGATTTCATCGCGTTTGGGTACACGGCAAATGACCATTGATTTTCCTTCAGAGTGGTGCTGTGCAGCGTGTATACAACTTTCGTTCCTTTATTAGCAAATTGCTTCTCATTCATCATCTGCTAAAAAGCTTACTCGTGCAATGTCAACCGATCAAACATGCCATGCTCAACATCCATCCAGATGAAATCTGGCTTCGTGCTTGCAATAAGCTTGGTCACAAACGTGCTGGGAATACCCTGTGCAATGCCCATGAGACTCTTGCTTGCATCGGCCTGTGCATCTTTCAGTGCCTGGCGAAGATTGGCAGGCTGTGTGAGGGAAGCTGCGCGGTAGGGCGCGTGAGTGTGTAGCGAGGGTTGCTCGCTGTATGGAGTAAAAGCAGCCATATTGAGGAAATTGAGAAGTGGGGAAATCTGTGGAGAGCAAAAAACGATATTCTGGAGGAGGATGTCAAGTACAATTAACGCACGGGTGATCTGGGCTGCGTATGAGAGATTTCCCAACGACCTTTATACGTGCCGAACATAGTTCCCCACTGATTGACATGCAGAAGAAATGTAACCGCGCCACATCGCACTTCCACGACACGCGGTTGAATTCGATTGTGGATACCTTTGTCAACGGTGCCAACGGATTTAGCGGAACTCAGTAGTACCATCGCGCCGAGCGAACAAGTACTAGACCCAAATCAAGCGCTTCTTGCCTAACATGTAGATTGCCTAACATCAACCCTCGCTCCTAAGAGGCAGGGCGTTTGCTGACGATATTAGGAGAATTGGTAATGGCTCAAGGAGATAGCCAAAATAGCGCGTATGCTAAGGCGGAAGCATGTTCCGCAATGGTGGCTTTGAGGTAGACGTATTACTGCTGATGTAAGAGCTTTTGGGTTTTAGCACACGATTGATCAGGTAACTAGTCATCAAAGAGGCTGACTGATGTAAAGTATGTTGCCTCAATGTTCCCGAATGGGGCTTGATACACGCATGTGGTGTGCCGCGGATGAAGAACGCGCGCATAGCCACAAGGCAGCAAGAAATTAAAACCGGGATCGGATTGTGCTTATGTAACTCGACTGACTTTTGGACGAATAACAATAGATGGAAGCGATGTATGCGGATCCATAAGCGAAATTGTACTACATATCGGCCATAACACCTAACTCCGATCTCCAAGCCACGATAGGGTATCGAAGCGCTGACCGTGGAGTCCGGTCGAATGTGGAACAAAATAGTAACTTCGCTGTTAGGAATCGTGCTAACTCCGTCTGACAGTAACCATGGCGAGGTGCCCAAGTGACACCGTGTGAGACCATTGATATCGGATGTAGAGACGCAGGCAGTCAGATCGATTACAACGGTTTCGTGGCGGATCGATCCCTTGTAAACCACTCGCACACTATCAAGTCAGCTGTAGTGGTGCCAATTTTAAGCATGTTTCAGACTGACCTGGGATTGACGGCATTCGTGGAGCATATGTGCTTTGAGATGGGTTGCTCTGCGATGTGCTCGGCATCCTTGTCACAGTAACCTCGATAATATCTTTCTCCAAGAGTTCGAAATCCATGCTGTCCCTTTCCATCTCTTCTGAGGAAAACGTTCCCTTATCGTCTTGTCGCCTCCTGCGGTTTGGAATGTCCATGAGGGTAGCGGCGAGAATTATGAGGCTGAGAACGGCTATCACGCCACCAATTGAAACAAAAACGATAGCCATGGTGGAGATGCCATCCCATGAGCCGAGATCCATGTTGGTGGATGATGGGTAGTTGAGACGGTGTGCGGTTCGAAATCAAGTTGGAGACTGAAGAACCGTCTGAGTTCTTTATACAAGAAATTGCGTGATACTCTATCAAGAAAAGATTACTAAATCGAAAAATAAGAAAACAAGTCTAATTGCCAGAAGAGGGCGATACTTTGAAAACAATGTTGCGGGTCAACACCATAAGTGCGAAGACGCCTTCCTTATAGACAACACTTCCCTTCTCTGTGTGTTTTCCTACTCTCATCACCCAGAGCAACAAAGTATAAGATGCCCATCGGGCCCGTTCGGCCGTTGGGTCGTTTACGAAATAGCAAAACTTCAGCTGGTGGGTGGCTTGTCCGCCACACCAACGTGACAGAACCCCATCTCTTTCCAAGCTGGCAACGTCAGCTCCACGTCTGGGCGGCAGAAACCTGCTTTTTTTTATATCCTAGCAGCTAGGCTACTGCACAGATATCATTGTCGACTACTCCAATCAGGATTTGATACCTCGTGGCTACGCATGCTCCTGTGCGCTCAGGGGCGCTGCCTAGTAATGAACGCTAACGCAATACGGATATTTGGCTTTTGTGGCAGCATCGATTTGTATGCTTTTTTCTTTCTTTCCTAGACTCACTAGCCTTATTGTGTAGTAAGCGAGGGTTTCGTTTTGATGCACGTCGCTCGATAGCATCCTTGGCCAGCATCCAGCTCAAATTTAACTTGGCATGAGCCATGCTGGTTGATGAGGAGCTGCAAAGGCAGTTTCCTTTATAGTTCTATACTCTGCAGATGAGAGCAGAGACTGGAGCCAACGATTTGACAGTAAGATGTTATATTCTTCTGATGGCGAACTGTTATTGTTGGTGATTGCGTTGCCTCGAGCGTTCGCTTAGAGTTGCTGGTGCACCCGCAGTGTTCCAGAAAGACGCAAGTGTGGGTAGGTAGACGTAGCATGTTGATTGCATCTGATGAACCCCATGGGGCGTTTTCAAATGTGGTTCCAACGCCATGGTAGTACCCGACGGTATGGTTCGCTCGCGATTACTGGTGCGGGGCATCGTATGATCCCAGGCCGGTTTCATACGCAAGTTCATCCTGCTACGTGGCTGACAGGTCCTGCGCACTCAAGGCCTTTTACTAACGTATTATCAAGACAAATGCGTATGCTGATCTTGATATTGGAACCATTGTCAGCATTTACTGGTGACTCAGCGGCGCGCATGTGTCATTATCTCTAGCCAGGTAGTTGTGATAAGTTACCGAAAATATTCAACGAGATATCTTCTCCTCAAATCATGAAAAAGAAATTCCTGGTGTAGATCTAAATTGTATACACGTAGCTAGGCTGTGAACATTCGAGAAGGGGTTTAGGACGCTGCTGTCCGTTAAGCTACAGGACCCGGCCCGTACCACCCCTTCCCGTATGCAATATGCACCCTGCCGGTCGGTACATTACTTTTCGAGTCCGCAACCTGCATGCGCTCAATACCTGCATCCAGTTTAAGTCCGATGCTCAGCGGAATTAGAATTTCACAATGAATAATGAATATAGCAAAACTGGTCATCATACCGTTCATACTTTGTGTCAACGTAATGATGAGTTGCTCTGGGGTTGGCCCACTGTGTATACATCTGAAGAGCAGGTTCGCTCGACAGTGCGGCTAAATGCTTCCGGAATCATTATAAGTACTCACTCTCCGGAAAGTTTAGGGTTCCCAGGAGCCAATGCGCAACCGAAAATCTGGGTTCATCTGAAAATCAGCCAATTTTTCATGGCTTCCTTTTTTGAATATCAGAGGGCCGTGAATGCCTCTCAGCCTACCAACTCCACGCCAAAGTGGCCGAGTAAACCATTGTTTCCATGCTGAAGGACTTGCCCCTTGCATAAGCACCAGTTGGCGGAGAATATCTCTTAGAACCAGGGTTTCTTTTGTTATTACGTCGTTGCTTTCGTGGTTCACACCCCTTTTCGTAATACTCAGTTTTGTAGTAACGTGTGGTAGTGCACATGATTCTGAGGTTCTGATACTGAACGCGCACTTCTGACTGACATCTGCTCCTCGTGCTGATTGCGCATGGATATAAAACCCGTGTCGATCTGCATTAGCTTGAGCCGGCGAAGTATTCCGAGTTTTGGTGCACGAATAGAAAACGGGCCAGAAACCCATATCATGTGAGAGTGGAGACACCGAGCTTGGATACAAGGGTCAAAACTCAGATTAATCGCTCAATAAAAACAAAAGAAAGGGGTCACAGCATGTTTCAATTTAAGTTCCAGCCGTCAGAGCGGCCCAAAAGATCGTCAAGCGTGCACAATTGTTGAGAGGGTCTGAGAACAGGGGAGTTGAGATAGGGCTTGACGGCCGTACTTTGAAGGGTAACCAGGGAAAGCTGCGAGTGGTTACAGAACAAAAGCTTGTACACAGCTGCTCGTCTGCCCACTAATGGTAATAACAATGGAAACTGGCCATGATCAGCTAAATGTTCGGCCGAAGCGCGTAACAGAAGAAACCTTCCCACATGTGTTCATATCTTAATATCAAAGCTCGTCCCACAGCCACAACTACTCGTTGCCCCCGGTATGCCTGTTATCTTGAACTGGCTGCCTATCAATTCCATTGTGTAATCCACTGTGCTCCCATTCAGCAATTCCAGGCTGGACTCATCGATGACAACCTTCTCTCCCTTCTCCCCTTCGAATACAGTATCTTCCTCGGTAGGTGGATTCTTGGATAAGTCCGTTAGGTCCATAAGATATTGGAAACCATGGCAGCCACCGCTCTCAATTGTCACGCGCAGCGCAAGGTTTGGATTGTTATCGCCTGTTGATATCTTATAAAGGCGGTTCGATGCACGTGGTGCAATGGAAATCAACATTGGGTTGCCCGAGTCGTCAGCTCGTGGATTCTGGATTACATGGGCAGGTTTTGCGGTCGAGGCATCAGATGATGTGGCGAGAGCTCGTCGTGATATGCTTGGTGGCTGGATAAACGCTGAATTGTGTGCTGGGATACGTCTTGAGGCTTTGCATGGTAGGGCGGAAGGTGTAAGGAAGTCGAGATATAGCGACTGCGGAGTGGCGCGCGAGGCCGCGATTCTGCTATGCGGCCTCACAGATTGTGATAGGACTGTTGTGGGTGCAGTTACTTTCGGTGTAATAGTCCGTCTCGCTGCGCGCCAGCATGATACACACATGGTAGATGGAGATGCCATTGTTGCGATACCGAAGTAGTCCGAGAAGATGCCCGAGGTGGAGAGATCGAAGATCTGAGGTCATACCTAGGGATGTCACAATTCCCAGCACCAATCAACGCTGATTACTGCCTCGCGGTTCTGGACCGCTTAGTCATGAAACTACCCCCACCTTGTGCCACCGCCACCATCCATCGGGTGAGCCACCGGGTTGTTACAGCCCTACCCGTTCGAGCTATTTACTTATCGCGCCTGATGCTTACTTAAATAATCCCATTCAGCAGACGCTCTGATCTGTAACCTTGGTACCTCATGCACCGTGACTCAGCATAGCGCTGACGCTGCCTTCTTTGTCCCTCGCGACAATGCCTTACGGTCACAACCCTTACCTAGCGATACCGGAACCCGAACTTCGCGCCGAACAGTTTGCGCGACGCGAAGATGAAAAGGACGGATTGAGTAAGCTGAGGAATGAGTTCGTCATACCCACCAAGGGCGATCTGAGGAACCGCAATTATGGATTCCAGCGGAAAGAAAAAAATGCAAGTATGCGATCGGACGACAACGAGGAATCCATATACTTTTGCGGAAACTCTCTTGGGCTTCAACCGCGAAGAACAAAAGAATATATCAATCGTTATCTTGACACTTGGGCTTCAAAAGGCGTCTTTGGACATTTTACCAATTACGAAGGAGGCCTTCCGCCATGGCTACACATTGACGATGCAGTCAAAAACCAGGCAGCAAAAATTGTCGGGGCGCATCCCAGTGAAGTCGTCGTCATGGAGACATTGACTGCGAACCTGCACCTTTTGATGGCTAGTTTTTACCGTCCGACCAAGGACAGATGGAAGATCATTATCGAGGGCAAGGCATTCCCTAGCGACCATGTATGGTACTCAATCACAATTCAGTATGCACCAGTGACTGACAACCCGATAGTATGCTGCTCTCTCGCAAATCGCACACCACAACCTTGATCCCTCCGCTTTGATCACCATCGATCCACCATCTCCCTCGTCGCCCTACCTCTCGAACGAGCACATCCTCTCCGTGATTTCACACCACGCCCCAAGTACTGCCCTCGTTCTTCTACCCGGCATCCAATTCTACTCCGGTCAATTCTTCGACATCGAGCTGATAACGCGTCACTGTCGATCATTGGGCATAACAGTAGGCTGGGACTTGGCGCATGCAATAGGAAATGTACCATTGAAGCTACACGACTGGAACGTTGACTTTGCAGCGTGGTGTAACTACAAATACATGAATGGCGGCCCAGGCACCATTGGCGGACTTTTCGTCCACGAGAGACACGGCAAGGTAGAAAGAACCCCCACACCCCGAACAAACGGCACAGGCAACGCATCAGAAAATAGCGCTCAACTATCATACCGCCCGCGCTTGAGTGGCTGGTGGGGAAGCGACAAGAGCAGCAGATTTCGCATGGACAACCAATTCGTCCCTATCACCGGCGCTAGCGGCTTCCAACTCAGCAACCCAAGCGCACTCGACATGACCTCCGTAATGGCGAGTTTAGACGTCTTCGCGCTCACTGACATGGAAGCTCTACGAGAACGCAGTCTCAGGCTGACCGCGTACCTCGAGGCCCGGCTACTCAAGTATCCAAATGGCGAACCACCGTACAAGATTATCACACCTGCGAATCCCATGGAGCGCGGCGCACAACTCAGCGTGCTTCTCAACCCAGGTTTATTGGACAAGGTTCAGCACTACATTGAGGAACGCGGTGTAGTAGTGGACGAACGCAAGCCTGACGTGCTGAGGGTTGCGCCAGCACCACTGTACAACTCCTTCCACGACATCCACCGCTTCATCACCATCTTCCACGAGGCTTGTCAAATGGCTTTGAAAAGCGGGGGTAGGACTCTCTCGTGCAACGATGCTGTTCCCAGAGGCATCGCTACTGTATAAAGGCAATTATTCTTGAGGGAGAGGCTCGCTTGGACAGTATTTACTCGTCAACAATAAACGAGCCACATAATTTTTAATATCATTATCCCCAGACATGTGCACATACACCCAGATCAAGAAAGCAAAAAGATTTGAACGACATGATTGCAGAATTCGTTGATTCAAAAAAGTGCTACACTATGCAACTGAGCGAAATCGTGACATGCTGACATCCTACCGTATGCAGACCTCATCATCTATAATACTTATGAAAACAGCTGTTGGTATCCCAAGCATACATCAAACCTGTTCATCATGCCTTGGGCACAAAGGAAAACAAGCTATCCATCTGTACCCATTGCCTTCCATTCTTTTCCAACCATTTCTCAACAACACTCTTCAGCGTATCAAATCTTTCCCTGTTAACTTCCGCCAACACTTTGATCTTTTCTCTTCTCTCCATATCTTCTGATTTGATGCCGCCATCCATCTTGCCCGCACGATCAACGTCGAACAGAGACTGATAGTATAGAAGCTGATTCCACACGTCGCGTTCTTTGATCTCGTACGTCATCTTGCCCAAGCAGTCACGAGCGAGACCCTTGGGACCCAAGCAGCGGTGTCCATAAACGGAGATACTGCGTGTGCGATTTGAACATTGTGGATCATCGCAGAGTACGTATCCCGCGTAGTAAGAGGCAACGACCTGGCGAATTGCAGACTCCAGCTGTGCTACGACACTGATGTTTTGCAAGGTCATGCCGCAACCTTCAGCAGGGCACTGAACTCCACTGTGTGAGATTGTTTGTAACGACGCTGTAGTTGGTGAAGTCGGGGAAAGTCCCTGGAAAGGGAAGACAGTTGTACATGTCCGACAACGTAGCCAAAGTGGCGAGCAGGATTGGAAGCGTACCGAGTCTGGGATCTGTGACTCCAGAGGGTGAATCTCAGTCTCTTGTTGCGCGCCCCCAGAAACCGTGCTAACACGATATTTAGAGGTATCAAGTCCAAGACAGGCAGCAAGAAGCGTGATGTTTGTTCCGCTAATGGGCGCGCAAAGACGCTCCACCGGCGGCAGAATCTGTTTGTGGAGGTAGTAGTCGATATCTGGTTTCAGTCCGCTGTCAGGCTTCAGGACTTCATCGACCGGGTAGGCGTTTTTGGCTGCATTCTCAGCAGATCCAGAAGACTCTCCGGTAATGATAAAGCTCATGACATCCTTTGCCTTGACGTGTTTACCCTTGGCCATGAGGCGCAAAGCAACTTGCACCGAGGGCATGGAGTTGCCGTTGGGATACTCCTTCGGGTTCTTTCCGAGCTGGGTGTAGATGGTATACTTCCGAGCCGGAATAGCATACTCGCGCATTTGCTTGCTGAGCTCTCGGAGGTGATTGTGAATCTTCTCGACAACTACTTCAGGGTCCTCACCACTAAGAAGGAAGTTGAGTAGCTCCCTATGATCTGTTAGCTATGCACAGAAATCAATGATGACTACTAAAGCTCACGTCGATGTTTCCTTGGAGAGAGCGCAGTATTCTCTGCGCCTCATGTCGAGACCCTTAACTTCCAGTTTCTCGATGTACTTGCCATCCACAGGCACCATGTTGATAGCAGCATACTTCTTCTTTGCATGTAGCAAAATTCGGCGGAAGACGTTGTCGATGTCAATCTCCAATAGCCTGTAACTGTCGTTGATCTCTTTCTTGAACTCATTACCCAGTTTGATCGCATCCTGGATGTTGTCGACATTGGTATTGATCATTACAGAGTCGGTATCACCGTAAATGACTCGAAGCGCCTTCTCCTCAGCCATTTCCTTGGTCTTTCGCAAAATCTCTCGACCTTTGTATGTGGTGAGCATTGCAAGCGGCCGGGCGTAGAAACGAGACTTGGTGTAACCCAAACATCCGTACATAGAGTTGGCGGTGAGCTTCAGGGCCATTTGCTTGATATCCCAAGTGGCCAGCTGGTCCGGAGTGGCATCCTTGGCCTTCATAAGCTTCTTCACCTCCCGACGCCGAGAGACAAGCGTAGCAATAAGGCGCGGTAAGATACCTTGATCTTGATCTGAAGGAACTTCGGGTACCTTGTCATCATCTTCCGATATATCAGACCGCTCAACTGTCGTGAAGCAAATGTTGTACTCCTGAATAATACTGGGGTAAAGGGAGTTGAAGTCCATGACCAGGATGAACTTGTCATACAGACCTTTTTCAGGCTCGAAGACGAGACCACCTTTGAACTTGTCCTTCTTCTTGGCGTCTGCACCTTCTTCTCCCTCGGCAGCCTCGTCCTCTACCTTGACTTTGTTCTTGCCCCACTGCTTGTCCGGGCAGATATACTTGTTTCTGTAAAACTCGTGGAGCAAAATGTACTCGTTGCGTTCGGCGCGAGTTCCACTTAGTGTTCGAGCCCAAGAATTACCAGCCAAGTTGGTGAGGACCTTGGAGAGGGGAAGCATCTGCACCTTGATCGCTATGGCAGCGATGAAGTAGGCATCAGCCTGGCAGTGCTTCACATAGTTCAGAAGACCATCTTTTGTTGTTGCCCAAGTCTTCAGAGCGGCCTCGTTATCGAGCTCTTCACGTTTCTTGTTGAGACCAAGCTGACACATCTCTTCCAGACTCCACGATTGGCACTTAGGCATAAGAGACTTTCCCATGTCATTGGCCAAATCACACAGCAAGCGGCCAGAAGCTAACTGCTTCTCAGCAAAGAAGCTGCCTCCACCTTTACCCATGGTCTTGGGCCAGTCACTCCTCTTGAGGCGCCCAATGCGGTGCCATCCTGGTGTTTTCTTCTCGCGCAGACGATTGAGCAGGACACTGTAATCCACATCATCCAAACGGTGACCAACAAGGACATCGGGGTCGTGCCGTTGGAACATGGCCATCAAAAGACTAAGAAGTTCTTGCTCAGTCTTCTTCAGGTACATGTTGCCCTTAATCTTCTCGACTTCACCCTGAAAGCCAATGGGGAAAGCAGGTCCGTTCGGTCGCATGATGGTGAAGCTTTTGCATTGCATCTGGTCCACGGGCGTGGTGTCGGTCAACGAGAAGCTGTCGTAGATCATAGCGCTGGCCATAAGGATCTCCTGCTTGTTATCCTTGGCATTGAACGTGGTTCGAAGGGAAAGACTCATGAGTGTCATGGGAGGCGCATCGAGGTTGTCCGAAGCACTCAAGACCGTAATGTTGTTGGGTTTGACAACTTGAGCTTCGAGCTTGCACCAGGAAGCATTCGCAACTGGGCCGAAGTCTGGCGCATCAATCTTTAGCCAGCATGGTCCCATGATGTTCTTCCACAGAACGAACTGCTCAAAAAGGGATGTGTTGGTTCCAAAGACGTGTGAGAATGTCTCTCCTGTCAAGTCAGTAGACAGGGGCATCTTATCGTAGCCGTAAAGAAGTTTGAGGTAATCCGCCTCTTTAGGGATGTCAGCCAACTCGAAAGCGTACTTTCTTGTGCATGGTTTGATCTTGTGTAGGTTCACCCGATGCTTGCTCATAATCGAATCCACCTCGTCTGAAACGTCACTCAGCCCAACCTCTTCATCAGTAGTCACCCCTCTGACTTGACGGTATTCCCGAGGCAAGAAATACAGCTTTCGTAGGATGTTGTCGACTTTCAGGAAGCAACTGACATAGTTGCCTGACTTGCGGTCTTTGACTTTGCCGAACAAGCACAAGCTGCCATTTAACTCAGTGTAGTCAATCCAGAACATGCGCAAGCTACCATCATCTTCTAGAGCATCCTGTGGCTGCAATTTGCCGGCTCCTGCAGTCTGTGGAGCAGGACTGCTCATAACATTGAGGTTACTTGTGACGTCATTCCAAGAAGAAGCATCGATGTTCGTTGCAGAAGGCTTAGCAGGCGAAGAGCCAGCAGGAGTAGGAATGTCTTCCTGCTTGATCTTTGCTATCGGCCGCCGGCCGGCCATGTTGACACTGGCAACAGGGGCACCAAGCTGACCTGTAGGCTCGGAGATCTCCATGAGATCTTCTTCTTCTTCCTCGATCTTGACCCCAGGCTGCGTTCTCCGCTCGACAGCCTTTGCGACGGGGGATGATTGCAGTGGAGGGTCGCTCATAGGAATGTCATCGTCGAATATTGGAAGGCCGTCATCATCTGCCTCTGCAGCCTCTGCTGGCGGTGTACCTGGTATGTGACTGTCCGAGTCATTCGTCCGTCGCTTCGTCGCTGCTGGGCGACTCTCAGATATCGGAGGTGACAATACGCGAGTTTTGCGCCTTGCTTCGGTTTTGATGGGTCGTGTTCGGATCGTAGAGGTAAGGGTAGGGTTCGTATCTATTTCACCCAGCAGATCATCCATAAAGTCTTTGTCTGCGGCAGTAGCAACAGGCTGGGGATGTCAGTCCTCGAAAAGGTATACAATGTGCATGGGTGTTTTACTTTGGATTTTGGTGCCATGGCAGCATTCTTTGCGCTGAAGTACTTGCTGATGCCATTGTCAATCTTCTTCCGCTTTTCTTCATCCTCTTCACGTTTACGCTTGGCTACTGCGTGTTAGTTCTGCAAGAAAGCCGGCGTGTGTCAAAGTATACCTGCTTTCCCCTTGGCGGGTCGGTCGTCTTCTCCCTCGCTCTCAGTCCCAGCATAGCGGTATCGACCCTGATCATCGTCCCACTCTTCTCTGCCGTCATCGACATATCCCTCGCCCTCGTCGCCAACCACAAAGTCGTCCTCATCCAATCTACCCCGAACAATCTTCTTGTACCCCTCTTCGTCGACCTCGTCGTATAATTGCTCTTCTTCGGCAACCTCATATGTGGACATGCGCGTCTTGCCAGCGGCACGATTGGCCCGCAATTCTGCCAAGAGGGCAGCGCCCGTCTTCTTGGCTGCTCGCGGCATGATTTATTACAACGATTAAGTATGTGAGCAAACAAGCGAAGAGAAGGAATTGGGTATGGGATGGGTTTGCGGGCGTGTTTGAATGGCGGGACAACAGGTAGAGCGCAGGAGCGACGCGCTAACGGCCACCGTGCACGCGACGCGACTGCCCATTAACTGTGCCAAGCCACTATCCCAATTTGTTCATTCTATTACTTCCCCCTCCATCAACCATCTCAAGCGCACACGCACACATCGCAATGGCTTCAGTATCGAAAGCTCCTCTGGTCTGGATAGACTGTGAGGTATGCTTACGATGAGATTTTCGAATCATTTTCATTGACTCCGCTAGATGACCGGCCTGGACACAGACAATGACACCATCATGTCATTTGCCGCATTTGTCACTGATGCGGACCTTAATATCTTGGATGACACAGGCTTTGAAGCAATCATTCATCACGACAAGGAGCAGCTTGACCGTATGGGAGAATGGTGTACCAGCCATCACAGGGATTCAGGGCTGACGCAGGCCTGCATTGACTCTACCACCACTGCGGAAGAAGCTGCTGAGGGTCTACTCAGCTACATCAAGAAATATGTACCTGAGCGTCGGACAGCTCTCCTCGCGGGAAACTCTGTGCATGCCGATAAGAGTTTTCTTGTTAAGCAGCCGTATCACATTATAGTCAATCACCTTCACTACCGAATTCTGGATGTTAGTAGCATCAAGGAAGCTGCACGCAGATGGGCCCCGAAAGAGACACTGGCGAAGATTCCAAGAAAAAAGATGCTGCATGAAGCTCGACAAGATATTTTGGAAAGCATTGAAGAAGCAAGATATTATCGAGAGGCATTCTTCTTGAGACCTCAAGGTACGACAGACGCACCAAAGAACTAGGGGGTATATCAAATGAATTGATGTTACTCGGAGATGGTGCTTTTCTTGGGACGAGATACAGGGTACCTATTTATCGCCTTACCGTATTCCATAAGCATTGATTCGAGTTGGTCAATCTGACATGTTCTCACGTCAGTCACTTCAATATCTGATCAGACTATAGCTACGTGTCAATCACCTTAAACAGTTGTCTAGCAGTTGGTCACTGTTTATACACCAGTCAGCCAAGATACAACATATAATCACACAATACTCGTAACCCCTGAATAGCTGTTAGCTGATCGGGGCTCGCTCAACTTCTCAATTTACCGTTCTTCTCGTTCATTTTGCAGCTTTCACCGCTTTCCAGTTCTACTGCATAAACATGTAAGACAGTGTACCGAAGACGATAAACAAAAATCCCAGGGTCTTAAGAATATAGGTAAGCAGAGTCAGCTCAGACTTGGTGGCTCGCAAGCGAGATGTCCCTAGCAGTGACATGCCCCTCGTAGAAACTCAAAAGCGCACTGATGAACATCAGGCCTGCCTGTCACCCTACCCACCCGTCCAACGCTCAGCGGCTGCATTAAAGTTTACTACAGCGCAACAGCAGCAACAACTTAGCGGCGAAACAACCGAATATAGCTCCCTATCCCTTGTTACAATCACACCTGTCTCACTACCGAACAAAGCCATGCGAAACACCCTTAACCTTACCGGTACTATTTCGTTTCCCTCGCAAATCCCTCCAAATCCGACCATTTCCCCGCACAAGCAAAGCATGACCACATGTTTCCAAGCACAAGAAACATCCAGCAAACCGAAATGCATACACATATATACATAAAGTGGATTGTGCCATCCCTCGGGTGGAGATGCCCCGCCATACACTAGCGCAAGCGAGACGGGCAAAAGGGCAAAGTATCTCCGCAATGCAACCATCAGTCGCAAAACAATCAACGAAGTATTCAAACAGTGCAACATGCAACGATGTAGCAAATCCCCAATGCAGGACCATACAAGAGAAGAATCTCAGCTGAGCCGCACTCGCACGGCCCGCAACATTCTCAGGGTCGGTAGTAATGCCGCAATACCACGCAACCTGTCCATACCCTCGGAGAATTCCCCCAGTGATAAGCGGCGGGGCCTAGTTATCCCTTGCCAACCTCGCTCCCGTCGCAGCCTTCCTAGCGGTGGAATTGCAACAAGTGGGACATGGGTGGCACTACAAGAGCGGAAAAAGAGTTTAAGTAAAAAAAGCTTAGCACACTCGCTGGTGCGTTTCAGACCTAGAGTGATTCTCCGGTGGGTAACCGATGTAAGCAGGAGGGGACCGTGTGGAGGTTAGGTATGGGTGTGTGGCGGCCGATGGTTAATATACGTGACTAGGTCGATACCAGACCGTCGGTCATTTGCACGGAAGAATTGGAGAGACGATGGGCGGGAAGCGGTGGCGCTACGTCCATCCTTGCGCTGTTTCACAGGTACAGTATATATTAGATGAGAGGGGGTGTTGAGGTGCACGTATGGATATGTATATATAAAACGACCCCGTTCCCGTAGTAGCACGCAGCCGTTTTTCCTTCCTTGGGTAGCCTTCGACTGTACATACCTGAGGGTTCTGAAGAGAAAGAGAAAAACAATCAAGGAAGGGATATTAGTAGAAAAGGAAGAAAAAGGGAAAAATGTACACACCAACTCTCATCTCCACCCTCGCGCTCGTCGCAACCGTCGCAGCTGCTCCAAGCAACACGCTCGACAGTCTCGCCCCAACTGCGTATTTCGCCGGCGACTCGACAATGGCGAACGGAAACAACGTCATAACCGGTACGTCTTTTCCTCTCCCTTCCTCCATCCCATAACATATCCCTAACCCCAAGACAAATAGGCTGGGGCGCCTTCACATCCTACAGCCTAACCATCCCCTCTGTCAACAAAGCCATCGGCGGCCGCTCCTCCCGTTCCTACACCGTCGAAGGCCGCTTCGACGAAATCGCCAACCTGCTCAAACCCGGCGACATCGTAACCATGGAATTCGGGCACAACGACGGCGGCGGTCTAGGCAGCTCCGACAACGGGCGCTCCGTATGCCCGGGTACCGGAAATGAAATCTGCAATTCCACCTACAACGGCCAAAAAGTCCAGGTGCGAACGTACAATTGGTACTTGACGGAGGCGGGCAAGAAGTTTATTGCAAAGGGAGCCAAGGTAATTGTAAGTTCGCAGACGCCGAATAATCCGTGGGAGACGGGTAGCTTTCAGTATACGGATGGAGGACGGTTTGTGGGTTATGCGAGGGATGTGGCAAAGGCGTTGGGGAGCAATGCCATGTTTGTGGATCATGGAAAGTATACGGCGAATATGTACAAGGGGCTCGGCAAGGCGGGCACGGATGCGTTGTTTGTGGCTGGAGACCATACGCATACGAATGCAAAGGGTGCGGATGCTGTGGCCAAGGCGTTCTTCAAGGCGGTGCAGTGTGCTGGGGGAGGCTTCTTCCAGGGTTCCATTAGGAATGCTACGGCTTCGATCCCGGGGACTTGCTTGTAAATTCCTTATGTAGGAAGGGAGACGGAGGAAGGGAGGGTTTCGGTGTATATACTTTGATCGGGTGGTTTATACGATGCTGGCTGTAGTTTCTCCTACAGCTAGAAATGCCACTCTGTATGATGAACATTTAGCAAGGCTCTAAAGACATGTCTGCGTGTTGGAAATTGTACATACCATACGGTCTGCATGTCCGCCTTGTTGCTGGTGCCAATCTTCGTAGTATAGTGCATGGGTTGCTAGTTCAAGTTTGATCTGCTTGTAAGCACCAAAGCCATGTATAACGTACTCCACCAGTAAGCTGGCCACACCAGTAAGCTGGCCGCCCCACCAAACCTGACCCAGCGCTCTACACAACCACCACAATG